TCTTCCCTTTCTCAGGAACTTCTTCTTCTTCTTCCTCCTCCTCCTCCTCCTGACGTTTCTTCCTGAGGTGTTTCCGTTTTTTACGCTTCTTCTGGAGACTGCTCCCAGCCCTGCCCACGGTCTCCTCACTGCTCTCCTCACTGTCTTCCAGCAACTTATAAGATCGGTTCTTCTCCAGCAGGGCTCGGGCCTCTCGCTCGGCGGCCCGAGCTGGCTTTTCCACCACTGCCTTCCGAGGGACCTGTCAGGAGAGGAGGAGATGAGGGAATCGGAGCAATTCCTGATCTCTGCCCAGCTACCTGCCCTGTTCTTAATTGAAGGAATGCCTTGATCTCAAGCCAGCCTTCATGCTCTCTCTTCCCCATGGCTTCACGCCATGTTCATCAGCCTAAATGGGGCCTCTCAGCTTCTGAACTTCCTTTCAGTCATTCATTTAACAAACGTTTACTGAATCCTGTCCCATGCACCAGGGACTTACTAGGTGCTAGGGATACAGAAATAGGGAAAAGAGACAAACATCCCAGCCTTCGTGGGGTTTACATTCTCAAACCCAATTCTCAATTGCTCAGCCTCTGCTGTTCGCAATGATTAAGTCATTCCTACACAACGACTGACCTGCTACGAGGATTATTTTGCAAAAGCCTGCCACAGGCCTGGCACTCTAACAGACTCCAGGGATAACCTGTAAACAGATTAACATAAAGTCCCTACCCTCATATCACTTACATTCTAATCTCATCTCCCTCACCAAGCACCATATGGGACAGCCATGCTAGGCTATCTGTCATCCTCTGAACATGCTGAACACTCTCACTCTTCCTATATACTCACTGAGCACCTCTTCTGGAAGGTACTCTTAGGTGGTAGGAATACAAAGACAAGATATACACTCTCTGGTCCTCCAGGAGCTCCCCCCCCCCTTTTTTTTTTAATATCTCCTCTTCTTAAAACTCATTTTATTTTTTTATTTTTGAATTTGTGATGTATCTTTATTATTATTATTTTGAGGAAGATTAGCCCTGAGCTAACGTCTGCTGCCAATCTTCCTCTTTTTGCTGAGGAAGACTGGCTCATCTTCCTCTACTCTATATGTGAGACGCCTACCACAGCATGGCTTGCCAAGCGGTGCCATGTCCGCACCCGGGATCCAAACCAGCGAACCCGGGGCCACTGAAGCCGAACCTGCGAACTTAACTGTTGCGCCACCTGTCTGGCCCCAGGAGCTCCCCTTTTATACCTTTACTCTGTTCCCCTTCTCTACCTGACAAATTCCAGGGTGTCTTCAGGCCTGCTTTTCCTGATCACTAGCCCCACCTCCTGGGTCCTCCCACAGCACTTCTCGCACATCTTTTTTTTTTTTTAAAGATTGGCATCTGAGTAATAACTGTTGCCAATCTTTTTCTTTTTTCTTCTGCTTTATCGCCCCGAAATCCCCCCTAGTCCATAGTTGTATATCTTAGTTGCAGGTCCTTCTAGTTGTGGCATGTGGGACGCCACCTCAACGTGGCCTGACTAGCGGTGCCATGTCCGCGCCCAGGATCCAAACCGGCGAAACCCTGGGCCGCCGCAGCGGAGCGCGCAAACTTAACCACTCGGCCACAGGTCCGTCCACCCCCACATCTCTTCTATAGACTGGCTATTCAAAGGGGTGGTCCGTGGACCATCAGCATCATCTGAAAACTTGTTAGAGATGCAGAAACTGAGATCCCATCCCAGACCTACCAAATCGGAACCTGCATTTTTTTTTAAAGATTGGCACCTGAGCTAACATCTGTTGTCAATCTGTTTTTTCCTCCTTCTTCTCTCCAAAGCCCCCCAGTACACAGTTGTATATTCTAGTTGTAGGTCCTCCTAGTTCTGCTATGTGGGACGCCGCCTCAGCATGGCTTGACAAGAGATGCTAGGTCTCCGCCCGGGATCCTAACCGGCGAAACCCTGGGCCACCGAAGCCGAGCGCGCGAACTTAACCACTCGGCTACGGGGTCGGCTCCGGAACCTGCATTTTAACAAGGGCCCTGGATGAATCGTATGCACGTTAGAGTTCGAGAAACACTGCTCTATAGCACTTAACCTAGCACACTTAAGCCCTCCTAGGTCTCCTCCCTTAAGCTGGACGTCCAGCGCCTAGCACAGGATCCAGACGACAACGGACAAAGGATAAATGCTTGCTAACTGAGCTGACTTAACTCCCCAAAGGACAGTTACCCCAGCCTCACCTGGACAAAATAACCTGGGCCCCTCCCCTGCTCCACCTCCTCTCCCGCGGTTCCCACGCTGGGCCCCGCCCCAGCCGCGCCCCACCCCTCCCGACACCTTGTTCCAGAGTCTCAGCGCGAAGTCCCGGGCCGGCCCGCTGAGGTCCAGTGTATCAGTGTCCCGCAGGCGCTGCACGAACTCCTCGGCCGAGGCGCAGCGCTGCGCGGTTCCGATGAGGAACTGGGCCACGTGCCGCTCGCTCAGGCCCAGCACCGAGTGCAGCTCGTCCTGCACCCAGCGCTCCAGCCCCGCCGGCGTCGCCATGTCGACCCACGCTCTGTTCCCGGCCCTGGGGTGGCTCCAGCAGCCGCCCTGGCGGCCAGGCCGGTCCGAGGCCTGGAGCCCTGGGCTGGAGCCTCAGCTCCTCAGGGGAGCTGCCTTAGGACCTCGGGGTTCGGTTTCCGACACCTCAAAGCCATCTTCCCGGACCGCGGCGGCCGGAAGCGGCCGCCCCTTTCCGGCCTAAGCACTACGGTGGCCGAGCGAGTTGAAACCTCGCGGAATCGTATCTGAAGCTCGCGGTGAAACAGTTTCGTTTCCACCCCTAGCGAATCTCTGTCGCCTCCTGTTGGTCAGTTCGTGGGAGTTTCATCATTCATTTAACTAATAGTGAGAGCCTAATGTGTGCTAGGCACAATTTTCGTTGCTAGGGATTTAGCAAAGAACAAACCAGACAAAAATCCCTTACCGAATTTACATTGCAGGGGGTGGGGGGAGGCAAGATACGTAATAAATAAAACGTGTAACTTCTCTGGAGCCAAAAATAATGCAAGGTGTGGTTGTGTTGCGAGGGGATTCCATTTCAAATCAGAAGATCAGGTCCACCCTTATTAAAGATTAGCCCATGCTGATCAGGAGTGACCTTTGCTAGGACTGGCACCTGAAGCAGGGGTGAATACAGGTTACGCATAGGCGAGGACCTCCAGGTAGGAAGTTGGGATCTGGGGAAAAAACAAAGGGGCCCTCTTTTCTTGGTGCTGTGTCAGAAAGTTGTTTCAAAAGATCTCCAACTGGAGCTGGTGGTGGCAGAGTGGTTAAGTTCCCACGCTCTGCTTCAGCGGCCGGGGTTTTGCCAGTTCGGATGGCCGTAGTGGACATTGCACTGCTCATCAAGCCATGCTGAGGCCGCATCCCACATAGCACAACCGGGAAGGCCTATAATTAGAATATACAACTATGTACTGGGGAGCTTTGGGGAGAAGAAGGAAAAACAAATAAATAAAAATAAGCAGACCTTGTTACTTGACTCTCTGCTGTCTGACCTGTTTGGCTCTGCTTCATGCTTTTATGATTAATTGGACTTATCAGACACTACTGCTGGGAAATGAAATATTGTTGTTCCAATGAACAGCCACAGGTAGCTCCATATCATTGACTTCTTGGGTGCATTGTTTTCTGAGACGGACTTTGGGCACCCCTGGCATCTCAGAGCTTCCTGCCTCTGCTCTCCTGGGTCACAACTGATTAGGATCTTTACCTAATTAGCTACGAATGTAAGCATTCTGTTTTCCTCCATGCCCATAGCCTCTCTGAACTGGCTCCTTCTTTTGACACCTTGCTTGTTCCCTTGCTAGTAAATTAAGGACCTTTGGCATATGTTTAAGATGGATTTGTCTAATACATTTTGGTTTTGGTGAAGGGGAGGCTCTTCTGACTAGGCTGAGAGGAGCATCCTGTAGTCGTAGAAGGACTAGAACTACTCAACTGTGTCTTTACTAGCCTGCAGACTTAAATAAATGACCTGGTGAGAAGTAAAACACAGATCTTCCACATTTGGAGAAGACAGAAATTCTTTGAAATGGGAAAAATCTCCGGATAACAACGATACTTAGGCAACAAAGCCAAAGCCATGAATTATGGATGGTTCTTCTTCTTTTTTTTTTTTTTTGAGGAAGATTAGCCCTGAGCTAACTGCTGCCAATCCTCTTTTTTCTGAGGAAGACTGGCCCTGAGCTAACATCCCTGCCCATCTTCCTCTACTTTATATGTGGGATGCCTGCCACAGCATGGCTTGCCGAGCGGTGCCATGTCCACACCCAGGATCTGAACTGGCGAACCCTGAGCCGATGAAGTGGAATGTGCGCACTTACCTGCTGCACCACCGGGCGAGCCCCTGGATGGTTCTTAAACCTTTAGGAATGTAAAACTCATTGTCTATCAGAGGAGACTCTTTTTCAGGAAACTGCATTTCTAAATACACTATATTTTGCAGCAACTTCAGATTTATTATTTATGGTCCCGAGTCTTGGAGCAAATGCCCTTGGATTAGCCAGTGTCATACACTAGGTGGCTGCTGGCACTGCAAGAGGCTTCTGAATACTGGTATCCTTCAATTGAGAGTGTCCTTTGCTTCCAACTTTTTACTTTTTCATGTATTCATTTATTTGTTCAGTCATTCATTCTAGAACTAATTTTGTGTGTCTCTTAGGTGCTGGGCATGGGGATGCTGCATTAAACTCAACTGCCGTAAGTCTGCCCTCATGGCACTTCCAGGCTAGTGGCTAATTCCTACCCTTCCTCAAACCAGTCCTTCTCCAGCTAGTCCTTGAGAAACCAGTGCAGGGCTCTCCCAGAGCCCTTTCTACATGTCAGTGCTGAGTTCTTGATTCCTCCCCATCATTTGCCCCTCCCACAGCCATGGCCACTTCCTCTTCAGGAGAAATAGGAAGATGGGAGAGGCTCGGAATGAACCCAGAGCCTCCCCCAACATGTACTTTTTTTCTAAAGAAGGAGAACCAGCGGGAGTCGGAGCGCTCCATTTTATTACGGAAAGTTTAAAAAATAACAAAAACAGGTAATGGAGAAGGAAGGAGAACTGAGAGAGTCGAGGTGCCTCCTTAGTCACCCCACACCCCTGCAATTCAATTCAATTGTGAACCACTAGGAGGAACAGAATTAAATAACTAGATGGGGGAACGGAGTTAAGATTCCCAGCCTTCCCTCTTGGGGAAAACCGAGGCACAATAATACTGAGCAAAAGTGGAGGAAGCCACACCCCCAGGTCACTCCCAGTGAGGCAACAACAGGGGACAGGGGAGAGGACTCCACATGTACACGGCAAGTAGGCGTGGCTTGTAAACCTGGGACTTTGGCAGGTGGGGCTGGGAGCTGGTGGGGTTTGTAAACCTGGCTGTGGTCAAGAGAGGAGGCAGGAGCTGTAGACAAAGGGGCAGTGACCTAAGGAACAGGAGGGAGAAGTGCCTAGAAATGGAGTGGGGGCCAGGCCTCCCAGGGAGATGAGTGCTGACATCCTGAGAGCCCCAGGGGGTGGTGGGGGGTCAAGGAAAGCTGTAGGGAGAGTGTACCCTGCTCATGGAGATGGAGAGGGTACTCCATCTCCAGCCCGCTGTGAGCTCTGTGCTCCTCCCCAGAACTTGGTGCTCACTCTTGGATCACCTAGCATGCACCAGCACGTCTGACACACTCACACCAAGACCTGGGGTGAGGGTGGAAATTGGGCCATTCGTTCTGCCCCCAGAAATAGGATGAGGAAAGCAAGCTGGAAGATGTTGGTTGCCCTTCCCTGCCAGGCTCATTTTCAGGGTCTGTCTGTTCTGAATCTTCTGGGCTCCAGGATCTTCAGTTCTAGGAAGGAGGGAGGTATATCCCTGTGTTGGAAGAAGGTCACCTCCGGCAGGACTCATCTGTGCGAGAGGAAGCAATAATGATAGAGAATGAGTGAGGGCCTCTGCCTCCCACCTGCCCCACCCACTCCCCACACTGAAGGCCAGTTGGCATATAGGAAATCCTATAGCGTCTTCCACATCTTGAGTGCTTGTTACTACCAGCAACAGCAGCCATCATTCATTTAGCTCGAATTCTGTGCCAGGCATTCTTAGAACTCGTTTCATCTCACCCCAGCAGAGGTTAAGTAATCTGATGTCCAGCTGTAGTTCCTAGGTGCTTCCCAAACGTTACTTAACCATCTCAACAACTCCAGGAGGTAGTTATTATTAACCCCATTTCATAAGAACAACTTGAGGCCAAAGGTCAGGTGATTTCCCTGAGGTCACACCACAAGTGAGAAACAAGATGGAATTCAAACTCGGGCCTGTCTGACCCAAACCCTGTGGGGGTTTTTGTTTTTGTTTTTGGGGAAGATTAGCCCTGAGCTAACTGCTGCCAATCCTCCTCTTTTTGCTGAGGATGACTGGCCCTGAGCTAACATCCGTGCCCATCTGCCTCTACTTTACATATGGGACGCCTACCACAGCATGGCATGCCAAGCAGTGCCGTGTCCGCACCCAGGATCCGAACCGGGGAACGGCGGAAGACCAAAGCTGAACGTGCGAACTTAACCCCTGCGCACTGGGCCAGCCCCCCAAACCCTGTGTTTTTAACCACACCAGAGCGCTCAGAAAGAGTCCTGGTTTTGAAATCTGGAGACCCCACGTGCACTTCGCTTCCCGGGACCTCCATTTCCCCATCTGTTAAAGGGGTGGGTTGGGGTAGAGATTCTGCCTAGCCCCTTCCAAGCGTCCACATTAAGTCCTCCCCCTCTCTCTTGGACCGCAGTGCCTGCTCTGGACAGCAGGGGGCGCGCTCGGGCTGGAGGAGCCTCCGCTCACCCACTATCAGGGCCTTGGTGCGCAGCCCGCCCTGGAGCTCAGGCTGCAGCAGCAGCAGCTCCTCCTCATCCTCTTCGTCGTCGGGTTGGGCCGCTGGGGGGCTGAGGGCACTGGGGGCCTCAGGCTCCGGGCCCAGCTCCTCCAGCACCGAACTCTCGGAGGGGTACTGGTACGTGGTCTCCAGGGCCGTCTCGCTGAAGGAGATCTTGAGCTGAGAATGAGAAAGGGGGAGGAGGTGAGGTCAGCCTGTTAGCCCAGCAGGGGAAGCCCCAGGGGAACAGGTGCAAGGCGGGGAGGAGCTGGATTTGGGCACCCTGCAACTTTGCCCTCCCCATTCACCCTGGGGTCTAGTTTTCCTTTCCATACTGGCTCTCCAATCCCTGCTTTTCCCTCTTCAATCATATCATTTCAACATCAGACTTTGGCCTGAGCTTTGGCGGGGCCCTGGGCAGCAGAAGTGAGTAATACAGGACCAAGGTTCCCACTTTCTAGAGTGTGGAGGCAGAAGGGTAAAAAGAAATTAAAATACATAGAGATAAGTCCTATGATCAGAACTGAGTCTTTAGGGGCTGGCCCCGTGGCCGAGTGGTTAAGTTTGCGCGCTCTGCTGCAGGCGGCCCAGTGTTTCGTTGGTTCAAATCCTGGGCGCGGACATGGCACTGCTCATCAAAGCACGCTGAGGCAGCGTCCCACATGCCGCAACTAGAAGGACCCACAACGAAGAATATACAACTATGTACTGGGGGGCTTTTGGGGGAAAAAGGAAAAAAAAATTTAAAAAAATAAAAAAAAGAACTCTTTGGGCACCCTGAGGGCAATCAGGAAGGCTTCCCAGAGGAGAGGAGATTTGAGCTGGCAGTAAATAGCTGGCTGGGGAGGGAGTCCCAGGCAAAAGCAAGGACAGGCACGTTGATTCCCATACCCTCAGCCCCTCACTGTTGCTGGGAAACTCAGGACCCCGGACACCAGACCCCTCCCTCTCCTGCTCCCCTCACTCCTCTCCTACAGCTGGAGTGGGCCCACAACAAAGGGGGTCTAGGGCCTGGGAGGGGAGAGGAGAGCAACAGAAAGGCCCAGAGGAATCAAAACTCTTCTATAACACATGGGGGAGAAGTCGAGCCCCTGAGTAGGTGCAACTGGGGGAGGTGACAGGGGCAGAGAGGAAAGTCCAGGCAAACACAGGTTGGGGGTGGAGAGAGCACCAGAAGGGACACACAGAGACAGAGGCAAAGGACCAGAGAGGGGATCTGGAGGGGGCAGAAAATCCTTCATAAACACACCGTCCCCAGAGCAGGCGAGCCCCAGCTGTTCACTGCCTTCTACGCTTCCCCTTTGCCCTCCTAAGAAGCTCAGGGGGAAGGGGCAGGGTGGGATTAACTCTGGGAGCCAAAGCGATTAAAGAGACAAACAGGAGGATTCATGTAAACTACTTGGAAAGGTCCAGATGATCTACTCAGGCCTTCCCTGGCGTCTGTTTGGGAAACCTGCGGCTGGGGCCCTGTATCCCTGAGTCTCCGTGTGGACCAGGGTGTGAGAAGAGAGAAGCTAGGAGGTTGGCTGGACAGGACACATGGATGCTAACACCCGGGTCCCCATGGGAAGCTGGAACTCAGGGACTGTGTGTGTCACTTTTTGGCTCCAAACCCTGCACTAGCTCCCCATCTCACTGGGAGCAAAAGCAGGAGCTGACCAACGCCTACAGGGTGCTCCCAGTGTGCCACCCACCCCCCCACCTGTGGGACATCCTTCCTTACTCCAGCCACTCTGGCCATGGTGATTTCCTCCAAGCCCACCAGGGAAACTTCCACCTCAGGGCCTTTGCACTGGCTGTTCCCTCTGCCTGGAACACTTCCCTCAAATATCCCCAATCACCATCTCTCCCAATCACCCTATTATAAAGTTGTCATATTTACTCCCCTTACCTCCTGGCACTCTAGGTTCTACTTATCCCTGTTCTAACTTTTTTCCCATAATCACTTAACCACCTTCTAACTCACCAGAGAATTTACTAATTTATTATCTTTCGTCTGGTGTTGACAGGAGCATGGAAGTTGCTACAGTGGGTAAGGAAGGGTTGGTCCAGATCTCAGATGAGGTCCCAACAGAGGACCAATGCTGGGGGATCATGTAGGGGGTAGCCCAGCGTGTACACAGTCGCCCCCCAGTCTGTCTGGGGAACAGCTGGTAGAATCAAGTGACGGCAACCAGACTCCTTACATCCCAGTTTCTCAAAAGGGACCACTTCTGGTTCTGTTACTGACAGATTTACCTAGACTTCTGGGAACACATTTTGGTTTTCTTTTCATATCCCCTTTTGGGATCACAAGCTCCATAGTTTATTGTCCACTCTGAAAAAGGATTCATTTTATTTTCTCTCAGTCCATGTTTGTCTCTTCCCCCCCACCCTGCTTCTCTCCTCACTGCCCCCCCCCCCCAACTTCTGACTGGGCTTCTCAGGAATGCATAGCCTGCATGGGGGGGCAGGGCGGGTAAGGAGGGGGGTGACTCACTGGCTCCTCTCTCATCAGCTATATAAGGTCACAAGGGGGCTGGAGAAGGGAGGGGCCCATCTCTCAGCCAGAGGGGCCTCTGGGGAAGGGCACCAGCCCCAGCCCATCCCCTGGACTCCAGGGGCAGGGCTGGGATTCTCTCCCGATGGCAGGGAGACATTTGATGGAATTAGCAAACACAAGTTATTTAGGGAAGGTGGGGGGCAGGGGGGTCCTCCTCTCCCTGAGCCAGTGGGTTGGGGCAGTGCTGGGACAGGGCATGCCAGCCCCTGAAGAGCAGGGTGCTGAGAGAGCAGAGAGGACGGAGGGGCAGGTGTTTGGGTCTAGAGAACTCTATGCTGCTTCTTCCCCGCCCCCACCCCAGCCTGGCTGCTTCCTTATTCTCTCACCACATCCTGAGCACACTTCTGGCAGGCCCATGGCCCAGCGTTCCCCACTCGGCCCCACCAGCCTTCCGGCCCCCACCCCAAGCTTCCTGTTTGGGCGATCTGCTTCCGGCTCCCCTGCTCCCTGATCTAGGTATGGTCACCACCACAGGTCCTGCCCTGCGCTCAGCTGGTTCCTGTCTTTAGGCCCCAAACTTCATGCCTCCCTTTCTTCGTTCCTCCCCAAAGGCACAAGCCAACCTTAGTAGGAAGTGACTTTCCTGAACCCCTCACCCTGGCAGTTTGCAGACCTACCCCCTTGCATGTGCCCAGCCCTATGGGGAAAGGGCTGGCAGCAGCCAGAGGACTCAGGGTAGACTCAGGTGCCACGGGTCAGGGATGGGAGCTTAAGCTTCACATGAAGATGAATGGGGTGATCAAGTGACCCCCAAGCTTAACCTAGGTCTTCGGTCTCTGTGGTTTCCCACTGATACTGAGGACACAAAACCAAATCTGAGGACGTCACACACAGGATGAGGACTGGAGACGAGGAAGAGCATCCCACTCTTTGGGGAGATGTGTTAGGTGTGGGGACCTCTCTTTCCTTAGAGATTTTCGAGCTGGAAAGTGATTGGTGTGTAGGGAAGGGGTTGGGCCAGGGCCAGGGGAAGAAGTCAGCCTGGCTGCTCCCACTTCCCTGCAGGTCCTTATTCCAGTTTAACCTCTGACCTTCTGCCGGCCTCGGCCCCCACCCCTGTCTCCAACTCCCATTTGGAGGCATCTCAGCAGGGCGCCTCCAAATTCACTTCTCTCTTTTTCTACCCCAAGGGGAGGGCGAGGCCAGAGTGTCAGGAAAAGAGAGGGGAAAACCATTGCTGAGCCAGTACTGGGGAGGGAGGGGAAGTCCAGGGAGGAAGGACCGGGAGTGAGGGGCGGGGGTATTTTGGAAGAGGAGAAGGCTTTTCTTGTCCCAAGAGAGAAGGGAGCACTGTCTGAAGCAGTGGCCCAGCTGGGGGTGTGCAACCCCGAGGTCACCCACTTCAAATGGCCTCTGTGTGCGTCTCTCCCATGGGGCAGACTAGGGGTTCAAAAGCCTTCTCTCTGCTCCCTGGCGAGCCCAGTTCCATTCTTCCTCCCTCCCCCCTCTATCCTTGGATGTCCCCGCTCAGCTCTGCCCCCTCTTCCTTGGGACTGTGAGACCTTCCCCCACTCTCTTCTCCCTGCCATTTCTCCCTAGAATCCCAAAGCCACCCCCTCCACCTCCCCAGGGGTCCTGCCCAGACATTCTCTACCCTGGAAGGCTAGAAGTGCTTTCATCCTGGTGACCTGCCCTCATAGATTCAAGGCTGTCACCTTGGCTCAGGTATCCCACCAGATGGACTGGGTTGGGTCACAAACTCAGAGGAAGGGAAGGAAAGAAAGAGGGGGCGGGGAGGGTGGCACTCAGAGCCTGAGGCAAGGGTGAGTAGTGAGCAGCTGGGCACACCCTGAGCGAGACACACCCAGGGACACCGCTTGATTGTGGGGCAGGATCCTTGGGGCTTGGAAATGAATGGAAAAGGAGGGCTACAAGAAGGAAGGGTGTGTGTGCAGGAAGGGTGGTGGCAGGAATGAGCAGGAAAGAATAGAGGAAGACAAGAATACAGGGGTATAAAAGAGAGAAAGATGTGGTCCAGAGAGAACTGCCGAGTGCGCTTCTAAGAAGTCTGCTTGGCGGCTCCCTACCTGTTTGTGGTGCCTTTCAGGGGACCCCTTGACAAGGCAGCTGCGGCTGAGGCGGAGGTAGCCCCCCAGAACCAAGATCTCCTCGGCAGTCGGGTACCGCTTCTTCCCAGACCCCGGGGCTGCAGCATCAGCTGTGGCTGAGGTGGCTGGAGTGGTGGGGGCTGCAGGGGGCGCGGACCGCCGGGGGTTGACTGTGAAGGTGTGCCCACTGCGGCGGGGGGCCCCAACCCCTGGCCCTGCCTTCACTCCATAGAACAGACGGCTCATGAGGGGATCACCAGGGGACTGGGGGCCAGGTGGGGCTGGGGGTGGGGGAGAAAGAGGGGCTGCTGATGGGGGCCGGAGTTCCACTGCTTCCTCTTCCTGCAGTCTAGAGCCTCCAGTCCCAGCGTCCTCTAGTGGGAGGGGGGAGGGCACAGAGCAGCGGTTCTGCAGGGCGCTCAGAGGCCTGCCCTGAGCCCCCGCCTCCTTCTTCTCAGCCTCTCCATCTCCAGCCTCTGCACCAAGAGGCCCCAGATGCTTCTCAGCAGACTCTGGAGGTTCCGGTTTCTGAGTTTGAATCTCTGTGTCCCTGGGTGTCCATTCTCGAACCTTCCCAGAGTTCAGGGTCCATTTCCACCCATCTGTCAGCCTCAAGCCCTTCTCGCCATCCTCCATAGGACTGGGCCTCTGCTCTGCTGCCTCCATTCCCCCAGAGCTGCTGTCTGGGGCCTCTCGTGTCAGGGTCTCTGAGAGCCCTGTAATCTCTTCTGGGGCCATCCTTGGAACTAGCCTCTCTTCTTTTCTCCCACATTCCTCCAAGCAGCCTTTTCTTTCTTCGCCTGTGCTCAGCCTCCACTCTGAAGCCTCCAGTTGTACCACACTCTGTTCCTGAGACTCTCTAGAGTCAGATCTCCATTTGTGGGCCTCTGTCAGGCCCTGCCTCTGGTTGTCAGACTCTGCTGGGCTCAGTCGACTTTCCACCACCTCTTTTCTCCTGGGGCTTTGTTCTCGAGGCTCTGCCAGCCTCAGACTCCGCTCTGGAGTTTCTCCAGGGCTCAGCCTCCATTTCCGCGCCTCTGACAGTCTGGAGCTCCTGTCTCCAGCCTCTCCTGGGCTCTGCCTCCAGTCCCGAGCCTCAGAAGGCCTGGGGCTCGACTCTCGGGCTCCCCCTATCCCCAGCCTCTTCTCTCTGGCCTCCCTGGGACTGAGCCGCTCTTCTCTTGACTCTCTTCCCATGGGGCTCTGATCCCGCATCTCCCCAGGGCTGGGTCTCCGCTCCCGGGTCTCCAAAGGTCCAGGCCTTCTCTCCGCAAGTAGCTCTTCACTCCGCTGCTGCTGCTGCTGCTGCTGGCGCTCCTGCCGAATGAATCGGTTCTGGTGCACTGGCCCGATGGCCTCCAGGAGGACGGCAGACTCATCTGGGTCTGGAGGTCCAGCCTCCGTAGTCCCAGGCACAGGGCTAGGTTCCCCAGGAGACAGACCAAGCTTGGCCCGGCGGCGTTCCAGGAGCCCCCGCTTCCAGGCTGGCATCTGGGACAGCCGCTCCCGCTCCGCCTTCTCCCGGCCACGAACAGCGGCCTCCTCCTGCCGGCGCCGGGCTAGCAGCTGTAGCTTCCAGTCCGGAATGGTGGCCATGGTCGCCTTGAGGTGAGGTGAGGAGCACTGGGGGCAGAGAACAGGAAGGAGAGGCTCCAGAGAGGCCAGGGGGTGAGCCCGGGGGTGGGGGGAGAGGAAGTGGAGGGGGAGAGGTGGTACACAGAGAAGGGCAGAGGAGCTGAGGGTGAGGACAGTGGGAAAGAGGGTGGAGAAGGAGGAAAACTGAGAAAGTACAGAAAAAGCTATGAGCCAAGTTGGTGGGGGTGGGGGGTGGTGCGGTGAGAGGAAGAGTGAAGATTCAGGGCAGAGGCAGGAGTCAGATTTGGCAGTACAGGGTTAGGGGGTATCAGAGACAGTCCCAAGGATGCGGGAGGAGAGAAGGACGAAAAGAGAAGTTGGCGTGAGGGAGAAGAGAGAAAAGAGAGGCTGGGGGCGAGAGGGGACAGGGTTCAGGCGAGGTTGCCTCACCACCACCCCAGGGGCAGCGAGAGTGGGCAGGCAGGTCAGAGAATCCTGCCGGAGAGGGGGCAATGGGACCTGAGGGGGTGTCGGGGAGGTAAGGAGGGGGCAGAGTGGAGAGGTCGAGGGGAGAAGAGGGAGTCAGGGGACAGAGGGGAAAGGGAGCTCCGCGGCTGCAGTCTGGCGCGTCTCGGCGCGGGCCCCAGAGGTCCGGGCTCCCCTTCCAGCCCGGCTGGGGCCACGCCTCTCCGGCCCCAGCCCCCACCCCTCCGCCCGGCACTCCGCCCCAAGGCGGGTCAGGGGAAATACCCTCCCCCGGGGACTTTCGGAACCCGGGCGTCTGGGCTGCCAGGTCGTTCCCAGAACCTTGGCGTCCACCGTCCCCCGCCCCCGGGGCCGTCACCACCGCCTGCCTCCCCCACCGGCTGTGCCCCAGGACCCAGGCACACGGAGGACCGGCTCCACGCCTCTTCTCTCCGGAGCCTGCGAATCCTGTGCCGGGGTCCCGGCTCTCATGGCACCCTGACATAGCCGGCCATCCCCACCCGGCTCTGCTTGCACAGACAATCTCGGCACAAAGAGGAGACAGCCCAAGGTGTCCGGGCCAGGGACGGGAGCGGGGACGGGAGAGAGGAGACACCCCCTCTCCAAGTCTGAAGCCCCTCAGTCAACTCACATGCCGCGGGGTTCCCAGGGGAGGGGGTGCGGAGGAGCCTGGCGTCCGGAGAGAGGAGGAGAGAGGAAGAGGAGGAGAGAGGGATTGAGGGAGATCCGGAGACAAGAAGGAGGGGAGGAGGGAGGGAGAGGAGGAGGGAAAGAGGGAGTCGAGGAGGAGGGACGGAGACAGAGACCTGGGGGCCGGGCGGGGGGCGGCGACCGCTTTGTCTGAGGACAATGGGGAGAGAGAAGGGGGCGCGGGGCGGAGCCCGAGGTGGGGGTGGGGCCTCGCTCCCCGCGACCCCGCGTGGGACTCGGCTCCGGAACTCCCCTCTTCCCGCCACAACCCCTGACCCTCCGTGCTCTGTCCCCAGGCCCCTCACCTCGCTCCCGCCCGGTACCCCTGGAGAACCCAGGTGTCCAGACGCCCGCCCCCACCTCGCCGACCCAGGGCGGCGGCCCGTGACTCAGGCCCCTCGAGGGACTTAGGGAGGAAGCAGCAGCTGCTCCGAGCCGGCCCGCCCTTCCCATCTCCCGCTGCTCCTCCCCACGCTTTTGCCTTCCCCGGCCAGCCTTTGTTACTGCGGGGTCCAGGGCAGCCGTCAGGCTGCGGGGGCCCGTGGGGAGGGGGCGGCAGGAGGGGCGCTCGCAAGCCAAGTGCTTTGGAAGGTCATTTCTCTACCAGAGCCGCTGCCCGGCTCTTTTTAGCTTCAATCTGTCTCCCATGGATCCCCTGGTCTGCAGCAGGGAAATTGGAAGATTGGGAGGAAGGAGGACTCGGCCGCTCCGGGAAAGTGGGGGTGGGTCCAAGGGGAGTGGTCGCCGCCCAGCCGTCGCCAGAGGGCGCGGTGTCTGCCCAGACTCAAGTTCGGCGCCCAGGCTCTGGCTCGCCTTCCTTCCCAAACCCAGCCCTGAAGCCTGAGAGACACTGAGAGACTGCATGCCATATGTCGAAAAACCAGGCTCGATTTTATTTTCCTGCAGCGCATGTTCCTCGGGAGAACAGGGAGTCCTTAGACACCCGAATTAAGAGGGGCAGCATCCTCAATTAGGTTGAGAATGGAGCGCAGGGGCGGGGCCTAAGGAGGTGGAGAGGCCAGCCAGTGGGGCTGCACTGAGCAGCAAGGCATGGAGCCTGAAGGGGCAGCCACTACCATCAAACTTGCAGACCCTGGTCCACCTCCTAGGAGGGGAAGCGAGATGTGGAGAAGGGGATCCCTGAGGTACAGAGGCAGGTGAGTAAGTGTCAGGGGAGTGGTCAGGCCAGACCCTTCTCCTTGTGAGGAGGTTGTCGGGTGCGGGGAGGGGGGGGAAGGGTCATCAAGCCATAAACTGAGGAGACAGGTAAGTTCCCCACCCCCTCTTCCTGGCTGGTGAGAAGTGGACGTTGGAGGCCAGTGGCTGAAATTCAGAATTTAGGGTATGGAGCTGGACTCAGGGAGCCAAGTCTCAATCAGAGGGACAGCCCCTTCAGTTCATGGATTTGGGCCTCTGGTGTGAAGCAGCCAGGGCCTGGATGTTAAGGGATTTGGAATTCGAGGGGGAGAGGAAGTATAGGGTTTGGAACCAGGGTTAGCTCCTCATTCAGCCTCCCCATCCTGGGGCCGGGAGAGCAAGTGGAGTTTTCTTTGCAGCTGGGCCCGGAGGTAGCGAAGGTCTTGCTGGTCAAGTCCATGAGCCAGGCCCAAGTAGAGGGTAAGGAGGAGAGCAAGGAGGAGGCGGTCAGTGCCCAGGGTGGGGACCACCCACAGCACTGTCAGCAGCTCCACGCACACTGGGTGGCGCAGGTGGGAGAAGAGTCTCAGGGCCCGGGGAGACTTCAGGGCCAGAGGCTCACCCAGCCCCAGCACATGGTAGTACACCTAGGAGAGGGAGAACAGCTTAGAAATGGAGTCAAGCCCTTTTTGCAATTTAGCTGCCTCTTTTCTCCCCTTCCAGGCACCTTCCTTCTATAACTCCGGCCCAGGAACCACCCTTCTGAGACTTGGGCCTCTGACCCTTGTCTCTGATTCATGAATCTTCCCCAAGCCTAGGAGGCTCATAATTTTTGGCCTTTGAGGGAGGGCTGAGGGGAGACCATCTTACAAGAAAGGGAAGTGAGGGAGTAGAAAGCAGGAGGAAGGTGGAAGAGCATGCAAGGAGGAGGAGAGAAATCCTTGGAAGAGAAAGAGGCGTTCTAGAAAGGATTAGAAGTCTCAGGTAGGGATCTGGGAGCCTCACCTGTTTGAGGCCCATGAGCTCCGCGTAGTCAAAGACGAGAAGGATGCTGAAGATGAGGAGCCAGGAAATGACGTGGAGCACAAAGCAGAGGAGGGGCACCCAGGTGGCCCATGGCTCAGCCCGAGCTTCCCACAACACAGGGCCTCTAGGTACGGGCTCCCAGTACCGCATCACCAGCTGGGGAAGGATGAGGGGCTGGGTATCCCAGCAGCCCACCCTTGAGAGACCTAGACCCAGAGGCTGCCCTCCACCCCCACCCCAGGCTGGCCTGCAGCTCTCTGCACCTCTACCGTGAGCATCACCAACAAATATCTACCATGTGGAGGGTGCTGGGTGGGGTTCTAAGGATGTAAGGATGACCTGTCTCTACCCTGATGATTTACAGAACAGTAAGGGGGTGACCAGATAGGTACACAAGGTAGCCTATGCCAAGCACCCAGTGAGAAAGCAGATGAGTACTAACTGGGAAGCCTTCTCTTGAGATCTAGGGAAGTGGTTTTGAAGAAAGGGCAGGACTGAAGGGGAATTAACTAGGGGATCCCTAGAAGGACAACATGAACAAAGTTGCAAAGGTGAGAATGCTCATATCGTGCTTGGGGAATGACAAGCAGTACACCCTTCTTGATAAAAAGTAGAATGTGTGCCGTGGAGGAATGGAAGCTGAGATTAGAGTCCTAACACCTTCCTTCAGTTCTCCTCCTAAACCCACATTTTATCAGAAGCCTAAGATCCTTGCCCCTCCAACCTAGGGCATCCTTCCCACATACTCTGTTTCCCTTGGGGACTCAGCTGCCAGAGCCTCATACCTGCAAGGCCAGGGCAGTGCATGCCACGTACAGTGACCTCTGAAGGACCCCAAAGTACCGGGACATCCATGCCTTCACTGTCTCAGTTGCCATGAGGCTGTGCTGCCCCACAAACAGTAGCAGGAGCCCCAGATCCCAAGCCAGGGAGGCAAGGATGCTGTGGTCCTGCAAGGCAGCCAGCCATCCTTGGCGGGCTTCTAGAGGGAGTTGGAGAAAAGGACAAAAGTTCAGGAAGATAATGGGAAACACTCCCTACCTTCATCTCTTGGGGCTGCAGGCCATGCCCTTTAATGCTTTCAAGAGCCTTAATGCTTCCTCTCCAGGCTTTGCCCACCTCGCTTTTCCATTCCCTGTTTCTTCCCCCTTCCTCAGCCCTTCTTCAGAGCTGGGGAAGACGATTCATGTTGGGTACTCACAAAGTCATGGCTGGAGAGGTTACCATTGGATTGCCCCTCGTATTTCGGTTCTCCAAATGCTCCCTCTTTTTAACACTCTCCCCTCCATACTCTTCTCTACAAAGCACTTTCCTTAGAATACTCTGCTTATCGCACTTTCCCTCCCCCTCAATCCTCACTCTCCCGCCTCTCCAAACCGCTAATCCCTGAGCTCCTAAATTAGCCCTCCGGTCTCCCCTGCAGCTTCTCGGCGGCTTCCAAGGTTCTAGTTCCCTCTCAGGAGTTCCCCTGTCATTTGTCTCCAAGCCCCGCCCCGCTCCCCTCTCCTCCGGCCCCACCTCCCTACCCTGGAGCTCACCCTCGACCCCTCCCGCTCACCCGGACCACCAGACTCTGGGATCCCTCCAAGAAGCGGCCGAAGGGAGGTAAAGCGCACGAACTCCACTCCGGTGCCAAAGGCCAGGATGAAGGAGGCGAGGGCAGCGGGGACCAGGAGCAGTGCTGGGGCCATGGCGAGAAACCGAGGGGTGGGGCAAGGGGCGGGCCCGGGATTCCCGCGGCTGCAGGCCCCGCCCCCGGCTCCGCCTCCTGCCTGGGATCCTGCCCAGGAGGGCGAGGCTCCCGCGCGGAGATGCCCCGGCTTCCGGCCGCCGAGCGCGGTTTCTCCCACCAGACAGCAGGCTCCATGCACGCGGCCTCTGAAACCTGCAGTCCGCGCGTCACAGAGGGAATATTAGAATTCCGAGTGAGAGGTGAAAAGGGCAGCGACTCTGCTGCCACTCACGTGGGTCGAATCGCAGCTCAGCTAGTTTTCCCATCTAAAATGAAGACAGTTCTTCTGTTGCAGGATTCTTGTGGGAACAGAGCTTTAGGATCCCACTTTTCTTTAACAGCCTTGGCTAGAAAACATAACCAGAGTCAGAGGTTACAAAGCCTCGGTTAACACTTTAATAACGAACGATGAGAGAACGGAAGCCTGTTGACTCAGCTGAGAAGCCAACGCCCTGAATCACCTAGTACATCTTGTTAAATTGAAAAAGAGTTAGTGACTGTTTTGCCACAAAATAAATTAATGCTTATTCTGTAACTTATAAAGTTGAGTTGTTGCTAAGAAGGGCAGAGAACTTCTCTGTTGTAATACTGAAACGTTTGTTCTAATAATGCTTAACGCTGTTGATTTGTAACCATGAGAGTAAAAATGTTGAAATATTTGTGCTAGAAAACTTTATTACAGTTGTAAACTTTGCAGTAGGTTAATTTTATCCACCCTTGTGATAATTATCTATGACTACTCTGCAACTTCATTAGTTTGACTCTATTTACTAGTCAGAAACCACTAAGATCTTTTGTTTTAACGTATTCTCCCTACAGGCCTGTTTATCATACCTATGGACTAACATTCATATCTAAAATGCAAAGTAAAAGTAAGGTTTTTCTCCATCAAAATTAAAGATGACGTAGCTAAGAACCTAGTCACAGTAGCTGTGACCATGGTAGAGACCTTAGAGATCAATAAGCTAATTCCCTCAACTTATGGATAGAAGAAACATAGGCCCAAAGAAATAAAGAAAATTTCCTAAGATGAGAATTAAGGGAAACTGCTAGTCCTGTGGGCTCAGGCAGGAGAAAATTGCCAAGTGGCATCCCACAGGCTCTGCATTCCTTCTCCCTCCGTGAAGCTCAGTACTCCCACCCTCCTCTGAATCAACGCTATTGTATACTGTACCAGGCATCTTATGTTTTCCCTCCAGATTCATTCTCCAGCCCGCTTCTGCTTCAGGAAGTTGTCCTGAATGGGCTACATCAATGAAGGTCACAGCTTTTCTTGAGAAAGCCCTCTCTACATAACTGCTCCCTCTTCTCAAGCTTTTGGGCTTAGAGGTGGTCACAACAGAGCTGTGGGTCCTGGGGTACCGCAATACTCTTTGTGACTTCTCTACGCTCTACCTACTTCTTTGTAATTTTCACCTTATTAAACTCTCCCCCAATTATCCTAATTTGACTGTGCCACCATTTCCTGCTAGGACCCTGACTGAGACATTTATTGCACAATGTGCCATAAGCTGTGGGATTCGTTGGAAGTGTAAGAAAAGATCTCTATTCTTGGGGCTGGCCCTGTGGCCGAGTGGTTAAGTTCGCGCGCTCCGCTGCAGGCGGCCCACTGTTTTGTTGGTTCGAATCCTGGGCGTGGACATGGCACTGCTCATCAAACCATGCTGAGGCAGCGTCCCATATGCCACAACTAGGTGGACCCACAACGAAGAATATACAACTATGTACCTGGGGGCTTTGGGGAGAAAAAGGAAAAAAAATAAAATCTTCAAAAACAAAAAAAAGAAAAGATCTCTATTCTCTAGAAGTTTAAATTAGGGTGCTGAAATGGTACCAGTCACGAAGTGGGAGTGCATGTGAGTGCTAAAGAGGCTACAGAGACAGCAGGTACTGTAAGGAATCACGTGCACCTCAAGGACATGGACACTTTCACATGGTACAAGGCTTTGAGTTGTGCGAGAGGACTATTTCTTTGGGTCCTACCATGTGATCACCCACAATGGCTCTGCTTAATATGTATTATGAGATTTTAGGTATATTTAAAAGTCAGCATAGTGTTTGGCAAAGCTCATGCTATTTCTACTACACTAAAGTTTTCCAAACTTCAGCATAACTTACTTGCAGAAAAGTGCACAAAACTAATCAATCATCTTTTTTATTGGAGTTCACATAACATAAAATTAACTATTTTAAAGAGAACAGTCCAGTGGCATTCAGTACATTTATGATGTGTGCAACCACAATCTCTAGTTTCAAAGCATTTTCATCACCCCAAAATAAACCCTGTACACATTAAGTAGTCATTCCTATTTTCCCCTCCCCCCAGCCCCGGCAACTACCAATCTACTCTGTTTCTATGGATTTGCCTATTCTAGGTATTTCTTATAAATGGAATCATGCAATGTGACTTTTTGTGTCTGGCTTCTTTCACTTAGCATGCTTTTGAGGTTCATCCTACTTCATCCCCTTTTATGGCTGAATATTCCATTGTATGGATATGTCACGATTTGTTTATCCATTCATCCACTGATGAACATTTGTGTTATTCCATCTTTTGGTTCTTGTGAAAAGTGCTGATATGAACATTCTTGTACAAATATTTGTCTGAACAACTGTTTTCATTGTTTTGGATGTATACCTATGAGTGGAATTGCTGGATCACTTGGTAATTCTATGTTTTACTTTTTGAGAAACTGTCAAACTATTTACCACAGTGGCTGAACCATTTTACATTCCCACCAGCAATGTATAAAGGTTCCAATTTCTCCACATCCTTGTAATCAACCAACTTTTAAAATTTAAATTTAAGAAATGTTACATTAAAAAAAACCTACACTACACCATAAGGCACAGAGTGAATATTTATTTATCACAGAGCATAAGCCTAAACTCTAATTTTATAAAGACTGGAAAAGCAGGCCAGAAAAGTGCAGAGATTTGCTCAAAGTCAAAGCTAAAGGACACTTCTAACAAAATGGAGCCAGAGGAGGGGAAGATATTTTAGCAGCATTCTGTAACTGCACTCTCAAATTTACTCACTCCGAGCATCCCTTCAAGTTATTGACACTAGAATTGTTTCCACAATCTTTTGGAGGATGAGTAGGAATCCCAGTAAGAAAAGACAAAGAGATGGCTTCCAAAGGGGAGGCAGGACACTGTATGCCACGGAGCAATATGTACATCAGTCTAACTAAAGATTAGAGCTGCTCAAGATGTCTGAGCATGGGATTAGCCAATTTTAAATGGCCATTTAAGAAAATCTGTGGCTCCCAAGCTCTCTATTGTTCTGTTTACCCATAAGTCTTTTCAGCTCCACCCATATTCCAAGACAAATCAGATCAATACATCCCAATCCTTTCTAAAGCCCTAAATTCTTTCTTCCATATATCTTCTAACACTTTATTTATTGGTCTGGGAGCAAATAGGGTGGGGTTTCAGGTGGATGACATTTCCAAAGCGGAGAGGACGAAGGCCTCTGGCTTGGCTTCCTGCTTCAGCACTCCTGTCAGCAGGAACTCAGGTGAGAGGATGGGCAGCCCGACCCGAGATGGAATGGCGCATCGGGGGAAGTCCTGGGAGCATGTGATCACAACTCTCTGAGGCTGGGGAAAGACAGAGCAAAGACAGAAAGTCAGGGGTGAAAAAGAATCCTAGAAATAGGGTCAAGACCCATGAATCAGTCTTAGCATCCCTAAAATAGTACCTCCTGATATGAAGCCAGATGGAGGACACTGCACTGTCAATGAAGTACTCTTGCCAGAAAAGCTGAACCTGAATTTATTCAAGCCTTTAAAATTAACTACAATTTACAGGAAATATAGAAAATAAAAGAATAAGATAAAGCATACAACAAGGGAGCAAGTAGAAAAATCCAGACTGCAGAACATTCTAAAGGACAACTAAGGGCCAGCCCCAATGGCCTAGTGGTTAAGTTGTGCGCGCTCTGCTTTGGCAGCCCAGATTGGTCCCTGGGCGTGTACCTATACTACTCATCTGTCAGTGGCCATGCTGTGGTGGCAGCTCACATATAAAAAGACCAAAAATTGGCAGCAGATGTTAGCTCAGGGTGAACCTTCCTCAGCAAAAAATAAAAATAAGTAAAGGACAACTGACCTACTTTCTGGGGAAAGTCAATGGCAGAAAAAAGGCTGGATGGGTGGGGGGATACTCTGGAGTAAAGGAGAATTAAGAGAGAGAACAATTGTGGTAATACATGGACCTGCTTTGAACTGTAAAAAAACATTTTCAGACAAGTGGAGAAATTTGATTCATGGCATATGAGAAAATGACCAAGAAACTATTGTTAATTTTATTATGCATCAATAACAGCATTGTGATTATGTAAGAAAATGTACATATTTCTTAGAGATGTATACTTTAAGTATGTAGGAGGAAATAATATGATGTTTGCAGTTTTCCTTTAAAATACCTCAGCAAAGGAAAAAAAGAGATAGAGCAAATGTAGCAAAATCTAAATTAATCTGCTGAATCTGAGGGATAGGTATATGCAGGTTCACTGCATTATTCTTGCTCCTTTTGTGTATATTTGAAAATTTCTTAAATACAAAATAAAAATAAGTCCATTTGGTATCATCAGACCTCTTCCCTCATTCCAGCCCCTTTCTGTACCATAGGTCTTCCCTCTACCTTCACAGTACTCTGTGTTCCCATCTGTACCTCCATTTTGTCCTCCAACCTTTTCCCATTCTGGCGACCTCCCCAGATCCAGAACATACCACCCATACCTTATAGGACCGGGGCATGCTGGGTAGGACAGTGCCTCCACAGCAGCTGATGATCTCTCCCATCTGAAGTGGAGGTGGCTGGACTCCAGGGGTCACATGAATCTCATAGCCCTAAGAGGAAGAAAATGGTGGAGCAGTAGATGTATGCACTGAGAGGCCATGGACCACTGGGAAACCTCTGGAGGGAGGGCTGAAGTATGGGGCAGAAGATAGCCTCTCACCTCCAGCAGCCTTCGCTCCCGAGCTCGGCTCAGAGCATCCCGAAGGCTGAAGCCAAAGTTCTCTTCCTGCTCAGGATCGGTCACCACGTATTCATCCGGTGGCAAGAAGCAACCAGCTTTGCGGGACTAAGGATGGTAGCAATCAGCATCAAACCTCAGCCCAGCCTCTCACCCAGCTGTTCTAGTATTTGTATGGAGCTCACAAAATGTTTTGAATGAAGCTTTCTGCCTCACCAACTTCCCTTGTTTCCTGTACCCCCTTTTCCTCCCACCACTTTCCAGAGCGTATGTGAGCAGTCTTCTCCAGTCACGATCACTATTGGTCCATCATCATCTCCTGATCTCTCACCTGGTGCAGCCAGTCCAGGGAGAGGATGGGGATCCCCCGCCCCAGGGCACACAGGAACTTGACCGTCCGGCGGATTCGATCAGTCACCAGGTGGGAAGCCTCTGCCACTGAGCTGGCCAGACTTCCCCCCAGGGCCAGTACTGCCCGCTCTCCTCGAACATCCACCACTCCTGTGAAGAGCACCTGTGGAGGGGGTTAGCCGGAGCTGGTCACAGCAACCCATGCCATCAGTGCCCATCTCCAAAATCCCCTTCATCTCCTCCCATCCTCCCAAATCTGTCTCCCTTGAAAGCCTCATGCCCTTTCTCTCCTACTTTGGGGGCTGTGGACTCTTGGTTAGGTTTGGTTCTTCGGAGGCTGCGGCTCAGTATTCCCTCTTCTTCTGCTTGGTCTCTCTTTCTCTTGCCTGGTCCTGGCATCACTACAACCTGGGATTGAGAAAGATCTTGGTAGGAGTTTCTGAGCCCCTAAGCCCTTTGCTAGCTTTGTGGTCCCAGCCCTCTCCTCACCTCTTTCTTCCCTGGTCTCTCTGTGGGATCATCTTCCTCTTCCTGGAGGAACGCTGTCTTCTGGGAGACTTTCCCTCTTTGGAGCCGTTTTTGAAGTGGGGGTAAATCCAGGGTAGCTAAAGGCCTCTTGTGGCTTTGAGAGGCCTTACGCTGGGGCTCTGGGGTGAACCCAGATGTACCTGCTGCCTCTACCTTTTCGATGTGGGGAGCATGAGTGGGCGCCTCAGGAAGCTGGGCAAAGGCAGGCTCAGGAATGGTTGTAAGGGACTCAGCTGCTCTCACTGCTCTTCGTCTTTGGTTCCTCGAGTTAGGTTCAGGGGGTGCAGAGCAGGGTTCATGGACAATGGGAGCTGTGGGGGACCCCTGCTTCCTAGTGGCCCTTGGCCTCCTGCTGCAATTGGCTTGAGGGATGGTCTCAGGGGGAATAGGCTGGTCTGTGGGGACAGGAGACCGGAATTCAGGGGTGGTAGGAACTGGCACAGCACTTATTATAGAAGTCCTTAGTGTCCTGCTCTGACTAGCCGGAGCTATGGCTTCAGGGGTGACAGGCTGGTCTGTATGGCTGGGAGGTTCATGGCCAGGGGCTGTGGGTTCCATTGGTTGGGGAGTCTTGACAGAGGACCTATGTTTTCTGCCCCGAATGTCCTGAGTTGTGGACTCAGGGGTAACAGATTGGTCTGTCGGGGTGGAAGGCTGGAGCTGTGAGGCTGTGGGGACAATTGGTTTGGGGGTCTTGACAGAAGACCTATGTTTTCTGCCCCGAGTGGCCCGAGATGTGGGTTTGCAGGTGACAGGTTTGTCTGTGGGGGTAGAAGGCTGGAGCTCAGGGGCTGTGGGGACAATTGGTTCGGGTGTCTTGACAGAAGACCTATGTGTTCTGCCCCGAGTGGCCCGAGATGTGGGCTTGCGGGTGACAGGTTTGTCTGTGGGGGTGGAAGGCTGGAGCTCAGGGGCTGTGGGGACAATCGGTTCAGAGGTGTTGACAGACCTATGTTTTCTGCCCCGAGTGGCCCGGGATGTGGGTTTGGGGGTGACAGGTTGGTCTGTGGGGGTGGAAGGCTGGAGCTCTGAGGTTGTGGGAACAATTGGTTCGGGGGTCTTGACAGAAGACCTATGTGTCCTTGGCTGAGATGTGGGTTTGGGGGTGACAAGTTGGTTTATGGAAGTGGAAGGCTGGAACTCAGGACCTGTGGGTACAACTAGTTCAGGGGTCTTGACAGAAGACCTATGTGTCCTGCCCTGAGTGGTGCCAGATGTGGGCTCACTAGCGACAGATTGGTCTGTGGGGGTAGAAGGCTGAAGCTCAGGGGCTATGGGGACAATTGGTTCAGGGGACTTGACAGAGAACCTATGTGTTCTGCCCCGAGTGGCCCGAGATGTGGGTGTTAAGATGCCAGACTGGTCTTTGGAGGTGGGAGGCTGCAGCTCAGGAGCTGTGGGGACAACTGGTTCAGGAGTCTTCACAGAGGCTCTGTGTGTTCTGCCCCGAGTGGCCCGAGATATGAGCTCAAGGGTGACAGGTTGGTCTGTGGGGGTAGGAGGCTGGAACTCAGGGGCTGTGGGGACAACTGGTTCAGGGGTCTTGACAGAGGACCTATGTGTCCTGCCCCGAGTGGCCCGGGATGTGGGTGTGGGGATGACAGACTGGTCTTTGGAGGTGGAAGGTTGCAGCTCAGGAGCTGTAGGGACAACTTGCTCAGGGGCCTTGACAGAAGATCTATGTGTCCTGCCCTGAGATGTGGGCTCAGGAGTGACAGGCTGGTCTTTAGAGGTGGAAGGCTGGAGCTCAGGGGCTGTGGGGACAACTGGTTCAGGGGACTTGACAGAGGACCTATGTGTCCTTCCCCGAGTGGCCCGAGATGTGAGCTTAGCGGTGACAGGCTGGTCTTTAGAGGTGGAAGATTGCAGCTCAGGTGCTGTGGGGACAACTGGTGCAGGGGTCATTTCAGAAGACCTGTATGTTCTGCTCCGAGTGGCCCGAGATGTGGGCTCAGGGCTGACAGGCTGGTCTGTGGGGGTGGTAGGGTGGGACTCAGGGGCTATAGAAGACATTGGAGAGGGTAACATCCTGGAGGACCCCCGGGGCCTGACTTTGGGTTTTGGATGCAGAGGCTCCAGCTCTGAGGGAGGAATCTCTGGGGCTCCCTGACTCCCATTTTGCCTGGCCCTGGGAATGGGCAGCTCTAAGGAAGGCAGAGGCTGAGGTGTAGGATGTTTTTGGCTCTGAGACATGAGGGGGTTTTGGAGCGGGGCTGAGGCTTCAGTCACTGCAGGAGGCAGACAAGCCTCTGGGGATTCCTGATCACCCTGGGGAGAAACACAAGAAGTGAGGCAGGAAGAGGCAGAGAGAAGAGAGAAAGGACTTGGATCCTGTTCTTGATACTTGTTTGCGTTTAGGGTGCGCTCACTGGCATTTCTATCTGTGACCCCCTTCCATTAGACGGGGAACTCCCTGGGGAGGAAGTAGTCCTCTTTCCCAGGGACCTCTCCCCATAACGCCAGTATGGTGTTCTCCATATATGGATGATGGTAATGAAGAGGATGGTTGGGGGAAAGGGGGAAGAGATATAAAGAAAGGGACTTTCTTTCTGAGTCAGGTAGAGGGAGACAGAACTTGGGAAACAGATATGGAAAACAACAGGTGCCAGGGGTAAAGGGATAGAAGCCATCTGAGGAGCGGTGAGAATGGGAGAAAAGTGAGATGGGGAAAGGCGTAGACTAAAGCAAGGTCAGGGGAAGGGCAGTGGAGGGGATGTGATCTTCGTGGAGTTTGGAGAGGTGGAGAAAGCATGTCTCACCCTAGAAGCCTTCTCAGCAGGTGGCATCTTGCAATTCAAGTGGTCTAGACAGAAAGCAAAGACAAATGTGGCTGAGGTCTAAGCAGTCAGTTACTTAGGGGGTGATGGGGGCTATGTACCACCCTAGGTTCCCCTCTGCCTTCACTTACCTCTCTCCTGCCTCCTGGGACTCACTGGGACGCCCCTTCCTCCACCTGATTGGCTCCCAGAAGCTACCACAGCTGAAGCGAGTGCCTGAAGGCCCCCAGCCCCCACCCGAGGCTCTGGTGTTGGACTGGAGGCCTGCCCTTCCTGGTCCTGGGTCCCTCTCTCTGGCTCCCCTGCCTCAGGGCCTCTCTCCTGTATCACTTTGGATACCTTGACCTCTAACCCACCTACCTCACACACTCTCCCTGGTACTAATTTCTCTGCTTCTCTTTCAAATATTTCTCTTGCAAGAGTCTGCTTTTCTCTCTCTTTCTCTTGTATTTCCCTGGCTGTCTCAATTTCTACCTTCAAACTCTCCATACCACTTTCGGGACTTGCACTTGTCACCTTTTTGTCAGACTCTTGTCTCTGAGTGTCTCTAGCTAACACCTGTTTTTGTTGACTGTCCCGTAGCCCCCAAGTTAATTCTTCCTCTCCCATCACATCTTTTCTCTCTCCTTCTGGTGGCGGTTTCTTGGTTGCCCTCTCCAATGGTCCTCTCTCAGGGTTCACCCTGTCTGCTGTTTCTCCTGGTGTACCCATGTCTTTCTCCACAGTCTGCATCCCTCTTCCTTGAATCCCCAGTGGCTCTGCATGAACTGGGCTCTCTGGATGTTGTTCTCCTGGTGTTGCCCTAGGTGGTGAGGGGCAAGATCCATGGGCCTCAAGGTGGGCGGCAATGGGCTGGGTCTCAGAGGCCTCAGATTCTCTTGGACAGTATGGCTGTGTAGCCAAGACCTCCCACAGCTCATCCAGGGCACCTGGAAGCAGAGTTAGACAGAGAGAGGGATGAAGACCGAAAAGGTAACAGGTTGAGAAAGGATTAAGATAAATCCATGAATAATAAATCTAAATGGATTATTAAAGGAAAGCTGGAAAAAGGAGGATAGTCATAACATGTAATGTTTGTCTCAAAAAGTAAGACAATACCTTCATATAAAAGCTCTCTCGGTAGCCTCTTTAAAAACGATGCTAGACTAGTTGCTCCATAGGTCTGACTTAATATGGCATTTTTTTCTGATGAGATGGAGAAACATCAGCAAAAGAGTCAAAGAATATGAAAGAAACGTGTAGAGGGAGAAAACAAGGATGCCCAATCAGGGCATAGAGGAGGGGTGAGTTTCCTATACCTTCGGCCTGGAAGCTGCAACGGGAAGGGCCAGGCTCTTGGGGTGGACTTAACAGGAAGGCCTGGGTAGGTTCATCCTCCGTGCTCTGGACTGCTGCACAGGAAAAGATGGCCTAAGCACAGCTCCTCCACAGAACTCCAGGCTCCCATTCCCGGTCTCCTGCCCTGCCCATGCCAGCTTTCATGCCTTTCAAAGACCACCAGTCTTATCTCCCAGCTCCCATCAGACCCAAGTGTCCTCACCTTCCAGGCTCTGACCCTCTTTCTCCACAAAGCACTGGGTAGCCTGTAGGTCTAGATCTTCAGAATCTAGTCAGGGAGGAATATAGGATAGATAATGAAAAGTCATATCTGACCCTTAACTCCTTACTTTTTCTCTACTATTCTCTCCCCAACTCCAACCCCTATGCAATGCACTGAATGTTTGTGTCCCCCCAAAATTCTTATGTTGAAACCTAATCCCCAATGTGATGGTATTAGGAGGTGGGGTCTTTGGGAGGTGATTAGGTCATGAAGGGGGAGCCCTCATGAATGGGATTAGTGCTCTTATAAAAGAGACCCCAGAGAGTTCTTTTGTGCCCTTCTGCCATGTGAGGATACAGTGAGAAGACGGCCGCCTATGAACAAGGAAGAGGGCCCTCACCAGACACTGAATACGCTGGCACCTTGATCGTGGACTTCTCAGCCTTTAGAACTATGAGAAATAAATTTCTATTGTTTATAAGGCACGCGGGCTATAGTACTTTGTTATAGCAGTTTGAACGGACTAAGCCACTCTATAAATATTCTTTCTCTTAAAGGTCAAGGGAGGAAGGAAGGCCAGCACTTACCATCACGGGCATCTGCAGAGTCCTTGGTCCCATCCATACGTGGTTCTCTCTTCCCTTCTTTGGGGGTCTGGGCTCCCTCTCTCCGTGGCTGGGTGGGTTCCCCTGGAGTGCCTGTGTCCACCACCAGATCTGTTAGGTTTTCCCTTGAGACAGGGAGAAGGCCCTGCTCCACTAGTGCCACAGGTGACCCACCCTGGGCCCCCGCCTCAGGAGCTCTCTCCTGCTCAAGAACAGCCACAGCCCATTCCGTCCCAGCATCCCCTCCTGTGGGAAACTGGCTCTTTCTTACATCTGTCACTGCTGAGGCATTTAAGGATGTGATCTCACAGTCCCCAACTGGAGGAGGCTGGGCTTCCTCTAGACACACCATAGGCAGCTTTGCTGGGCCCCTGTCTGCTTCCACATCTGTTTGATTTGTCCACGCCACAGGCACCTGATGCTTCTCCAGAGGTGTAACAGCTGGCCCTGGTAGGACTTCCTCCTTCACTTGTGTGTTGACATCCACTGTGGCAGAGGCTTCACTTCTCTCCAGGTGGACTGCAGGTGAGCTCTTATCTTCCTCCATCTCTATATCACTATCCCCAAGAGGAGGCTGGCTCTTTTCTGAATGTGCTTTGTCTGTGCAATCCTTGGGGACAGTTCCTCTCTTTTCCACTGGGGGCCCCTCCTCCTCCACATCTGTGTCACTGTCTCTCCTGGCGGAGGTTTGGCTTTGCTCCAGAAGGACCACAGGTTGGGCCTTGTCCTCTTCCACATCTGTATCTCTGTGCCAGGTAAGGGTTCGGCTCTCTTTCAGACGTGCCAAAGTGAGTGCTGCTGAGACTTCTTCCTCATCATCTGTATTGCTGTCGATCACCATGGAGGCTTGGCTTCTCTCCAGAGGGACCGTTAGTAGGGCCTCGCCCTCCTCCACATCTGTATCACTACCAGCTGGGTTCTCCTGCAGATTCGCCAAGCCAGGTGCCCCAGGACTCTTTGCATCATCTCCATGGAAGACTTGCCTCTTCTTCATAGGAACTACAGCTGGGGTCGTGGGGATCCCCTCTTCTTCCACATCAGTATCACTGTCTATGAAGCCAGAAGGCTGGGCACTTTCCAAATGGACTTCGGCTGGCCTTCCTGGAGGCCTGCTCTCATCATCCACATCTGTGTCACTGTCCTCCTCAGCAGGTTGGGTCCTCTCCAGAATCACTCCAACTGGAACCACTTCATTCCTTGCATCCCTCTTGACTTTTGTGGCATTGTCCCTTTCCTCCACTGAACACTGATCCTTTTCAAGCTGGATTTCAGTTGTGATGGCTTTAGGCGGTTCTGTCTCTACAGTGGCATCTGTCATGGCAGCTGAGAAGGCCTCCCCTGTTGCTGGTTGCTGACTTTCTTCCTCATCTGTGTCACTGTCCAAGTTGAAGGCAAAAGGTGGCCCAGGGCCACCTGGGGCAGGGGAAGGCCCCTCTTCATCACTGTGAAGGGAAGAGAACAGAAAGAGTCTAGAATCTATTTCCCAAGAAGGGATACCCCACTCAACTGTGAACTCCTTGAGGGCAGACACGAGGTAGTATTTGTTTTTCTATCTCCAGCAATGAATTCTCCACTTGGCACATCAAAGGTGCTCAATAAAAATTCACCAGAGTAAAACAGTATGTGTAGTTCCCCAGCTATCACTTTCATGATAATTATCTCTTAGAGATGAATCGTCCAGCCCCTGGTTCCTCCTCCTTCTGAAGACTCAGATGTCTGGCCCTTCGGTACTCACCTCTCTGGAACTACTGTTGCCAAAGAAGAAGATGTGGTCCTTGGTTCTTTCACCACATGCCTTTCAGAAAGAGGATCTGTCAAGAGTAGACAGGAGTAAGTTGACAGTTTTACACTCCCCATCCCTGTCTCCTCACCCACCCTCCCAATATACACACTTACCTACTTCCTCCTCTGAGTCCTCAGCCAACAGGAGCCCCCGGGGATGAGTTCCTCCCTGTACCTTGGGTGTCTCCTCTACAGTTAGAGGGCCCCGAGAGACAAAGGGCAGGGGGGCATCCAGGCGATGGTACTGGCAGAGCAAGTCAGCAAAGAGAATTAACTCCTGGTCTCTCAGACGATGACTCACCCCAGGGCTCAGGACCTTAGGAGGCCTCAGGATTTGAGTCCCATTGAGGCTCCCAGAATCCTGGAGGATAGGTGCCTTGCCCCAGGCCAGGATTTCAATCACTGCATGTTGTTTGGAGATGGATGGAAAGGGCAGGGCCACAGAGCAATCAGGCATTCGGCCTACCACATTCTTCCCGAGGTAGAGTGGGAAATCTAAGAATCAGAGAGGCAGATAGGTTCCCAGGCCAGAGTCTTGGCCTGCTATTAGGAAAATGTTCCTGTTAAGTACCTCACTACTCACGCAAGGTCCCCATAGGCATTAGACAAATAATAGGCCCCAGGACATCTAGGTATTGAAGAATACATGTAATGCATTATTCATAGTCAATACCCCATCCATTCACGCTAGGTTTTTTTCTATTGTGGTAAAATGTACAAAAGATTTACCATTTTAACCATTTTTAAGTGTACAGTTCAGTGGCATTAAGTACGTTCACATTGTTGTGCAACCATCACTACCACCCATTTTGAGACCACATTGGATTTTTATTTGAATTTCTTCATCTCCTAGTAAAGTAAAACCACCCCCAGTGAGTCCAGGGCACTTGCCTGGAGCAATCACCTCAATCAGCCCCCTCTTCTCCATTCCCAGTAAAGAAAGTTTTTCAGATCTCTTTAAAACCTATACAAGCTTCTTGCAACCCTCCCACTACTTTCTACAAAAATAAGAGGTCTATATCAGTACTTCAGCACCCAATACCCCCTGACCTTTTTCTGGTCCATGGGCACTACTGAAGATACGCAGTCGCCCTACGGGCGCCAAGCTACACCCCAAGGATTCACTGGGTCTCTCTGTCTCCTCCTCTTCTTCAACCTCCCAGTTAATAGCCTGGGTGTCCTCCATCATCTGGGAAGGAAACACATCATCATCTCTATCATTGGTTCACACACACAGCCTCAGAGAAAAGAGTGATAACCGGGGTAAACCTGGATAGTTTCCGAGGTTCATGCTTCTCTTTCCACCGATCATTCTGTTATCCTTCTGAAGCATTTAAAGAATATTTTTGACCATGACACAGAATAAGAAATAAATATTATTACGTCCCACGTACACAAATACATACAAACACATGGGCTTATTTATATAGACAAAAGTTTTGAGAAAAAATGCCTAGCCTTACTATATACAACACACTGATAGTTTTTGCTCTACTTTTTTCTATTCTCTATTTTTTTTGGGGGGGGGGGTGAAGACTATCCTTGAGCTAACATCTGTTGCCTCTTTTTTTTTTTTTGAGGAAGATTGTCCCTGAGCTAACATCTGTGCCAATCCTCCTATTTTTTGTATATGGGACGCGACAGCATGGCCTGATGAGCAGTGGTGTGTCTGCGCCCAGGATCTCAACCTGTGAACCCCGGGCTGTGGAGGCTGAGCATGGGAACCTATCCACTATGCCACCGGGTTGGCCCCCTCTCTCTATTTTTTAAAGGCTGATTTGCAACCTACTAAATTTATTTTACTATTCACTATTGGGTTGCAACTCACAGTTTGAAAAACACCATTTTAAAGGGAGCTAACGTTTGCCAAGCATCAACTATATGTTGGGCATTGTGTTATGTGTCAGGCATAGTAACCACATGAGGCAGGCATTTAGGAAACGAAGACTAAAAATATTAAATAATTTCCTCCAGATAACATAACAGATAAGTGGAAGGGACAAGAATAATGGTACTTGTGGCTGCAAAGCGCATGCTTTTTACCCTTTACCAGATCATCTCAGTGTGATCAGACTAAATTGCAAAGAATCATAACAGTGGACATATACAGATGCTTGCTATGTGTCAAGCATTGTTCTAGTTACTTTATATTAACTGACTCATTGAATCATCACAAGAATCCTGTCAAGTAAGTATTATCATTATCTTCTATTTCTCAGATAAAGAAACTGTAACATAGATGGGTTAAGGAATTTGCCCAAGGTCACCCAGATGTCTCTCCTCTGTTTCATATCTCTGATGGTTTTCCAAGCCCACAGGATAAAATAAAATCTAAACTCCTTAGCAAGACCCTGTATGATCTGAACCTCATGTCCTGCAATGTGTGCCTCACTCCCAAGCCTATGGTTCAACCACATGACTCTTCTCCCCACTCTCTGAACACTGTTCCTATTGTCCCCCACATCTGCATGCCTTAACCTGCGCCTTGGCCCTTTGCTCCTAGTTTTCTGGTCCAACTCCTACCTATCTTTTATCATTCAGTTTTAATGTCGTTTCCTTAGCAAAGCCTTTCCTGGAGTCTTCCCTGCTTTCTGGTGTTCCTACCTGTTCCACAGCGGTGAAAGGACTTGAAATTATCCTCACACTTCTCACCAGATGGTAACCATTACTTTCCCTTTCTGCCGTCACACACCCCCTCGAGAACTGGGCCAGCAGAACTGTCTTTTCCCCTAGGGTCCATCATATTCACTCAGCAGTAGTCCTTGCGCACCTAGTGCCATTCGAAGTATTCAGGATACATTTATGAACCAAACATAAAATTAACCCTACTCTCCTGATGAAAGAAGAAAGACGAAAACTCAAAATAGCACGGATGGAATTCACTTAGAAAGATGGCAACCTAGAGGGAAACTGTTGACAGGAAAGGAAAGTAGGACGCCTCCTTGGAGACAGTACTAACTCCGTCCTCAAGATTGGCGAACTCAGCGGGTGCCCACGACCCTTGGCTCTAATCCAATGGCCACCATCTTTGATCCCCATCCCAGTGGGTTCCCTCCGGGCCCAACGTCTCCCTGTGTCTTCATACCTAAACTCGGGGAGGGGCATCAAGTAAAGACGAACACTACAATCCTAGAAGCTAACTTCCAAATCTCCTCCGCCCAGTCGCACCCCCGGCACGCCCCTCCCGTCCTCCGGGAGAACCAAGATGGCACCCGGGGAACTGTGGGCGAGGTCCCCCAGAACTCACCTACTTTGAGGCCCCGCGCGCGCCACCAGTAACGGCCGCGGGCCGGTGGCGCGAGTGCTTGCGCTGGGAGGGAGCCGATTCTCTGATTGGCTCCCGCCGCTGTCTTTCACAGTCTTGCGGCACGCCGATTGATCAGGTCTCCAATGCGGAGGCACCGCCGTAGCCCCGCCCCCGCCCCGCCCCCTCACAGCTCAAAGGGGCGGCTTCTCTGAGGGGCCTGAGATCCGTTGTGTGAGGCGGCAATCAGAGGCCGTCCTGCGCGCACAAGAATCGCGCACCCCGATTGGGCAGCTCCAAGGGACAACCCACTACGACTTCACCACCCAAGGCCCACTTCCCGCGCAGATTTCCAAACCGCGACCACAGAGTCTGGCTGCCGGAGGCAGATAGAGGGGCTTACCATAGTCGTCGCCCGATGCGTCTGGTGCGGCCAGAGCGCCCTTCCTCAGTCCTCCCAGACATGGTGTCCGCTGACTCATGAGAAATAAAAATGGGTTGCGGGTTGCAGTCGTGGCCGGAGGCTGCAGTTTGGAGAACTGCCCGTAGGCGTGGCGCTTGAGGACTACTCATTGCAATGAAAGTTCATTTCTTTTTGATTTGGTTTGTTTAGTAGAAGTCATGTCACTTTCCCTCTGAGAATACATCCCTGATAGACATTTTGAGGTCATTTTCCTAAAGCAAAGATCCTAGGCGAACAGAGAGCACTGTTTTGCTAACCATCTTAAAGGCTGACCGAGGTCTTTCGAGGGCTGAAGAAGGATGATACAATCATTTATTTCATCATCTCACACTAAGAGGATGGTAACAACATGACATATGTATAATTTAGGAATTCTTTTTGCATTCGTTATCTCACTTCATCCTGACCACCGCGATCAAATAGGCAGAAGTAGATTTTACAGAGGGAAGTTGAGTGACTTGCCTAGGTTCCTACAGTTAGTATAAGGTAGAGACAAATTGAAACGTCCTCTGATTTTAAATTCTGAACTGTCTTCACTGCCACAAAATAACTACTTTCATTGTGATCATGCCTTAAAACATGAAACATTCTATTTTAAGTGGGTAGAGGGGTCCTACACAACTTGACATTCATTTAGGTGACTGAGAAATGTGTGTTGAATACAATGTGAATTATCAGTGATGACCTTGATATCACATGTCCTCTATTATGCTTACCACACTCCATGGTTTATACGCTTCCCACGAAACTGCAGGATCCTGGAGTCCAGGGAGCTAATTTTTGATCATTTTTGTATCCCTAGCTCCTGGTTTGGTGGACACTTAGTATCTAACAAATGAATTAATCCCTGAGAAGAAACATGCCACTTTGACTTGAGCCCATCCAATTTTCTCCCATCAACCCCTCTCCCTACCCCCTTTTTTTAAAATTCTGGGGTTTTTGAGAGCTTGCAATGGCAAGCCACCTGGTCAGTAAAATTAGCGAATTGAAAAAGAGTGGACAGACACTGAAATTCTATCAGACACCCCACCCCACACTTTTGTTAGACAAGACCCCAGTGTCTTCAATGCTGCTCTAAGGTCCAGATCCCCTACACGGAAGGAAACTTCTGGCTTCACAGATCCCAGATATTAGCTTCTCTAAACCATTCAACTTATTCTTTGAACGTAAGCTCTAGACAATTACATCTCTATCCTGACAAGCCCTTGTTGCAATTTTGTTTCTCTTCCTAAACATTATCATTAGAAAACTCCCAAGGGAATAGCAGGAATAGTCTTTCCGAGTATCTGGGGGAGCAGCGGCTTACTGGAGTTCACGCCTTGGGTCACCAAAGGACCAGCTGTTAGATAGCAGAGAGGGGTGCTGCATGTCTCCCCAGTTTTCGCTGAGCTAAGCAGTCCTGTCTTTCCCAAGAGCTACCGCAGCGGGGAGCTTTCAGGGCGTGCCCACTCCTCCTTCCAACCCCTGGCACCCCAGGGTTCCCAAATCCTGTATCCCCGAAAACGACTCCCTTTGTGTATAAAAAACTCAGGCATAGAGGAAAGAAATCTTGCGCAAGATCATTTTTCATAAAAAAACAAAAAAAGTCCAAAACCAAAAACTCAGTACCCACCCATTCGTCCCTTCATTTTGCAGCGTGGACAACAATAGAGGACTACGACTCCCAGAGCTGATTGCGCTCGTCCACTCGAGCAGAGACCAATGGACGTCTGATGCATGACCGGCCTCGACTAATCAGGGCCGGCCTCGATGAGGCTTTGTCTCCCGACCGCCGCGCGGGGCGCGTTCTCCCGCCTTCCCGCCCCGGCGCACGCGCGCCCCGCCCTGCCCGCCTTCCCTCCTGCGCCCTCCCCTCTCCTTTCTCCCTCTCAGAACCTTCCTGCCGCCGCGTTCGGACCTCGCTGCTCCAGCCTCCGGGGCACGTCCCATCCTTCCAGTCGGCTACCAGCAGCAGAGAAAAAAAAATTACTTATCAGTTTCTTGCCCCGTACACACCTTGAGGCGAGCAAAAGAATTAAAATAAATTTTAACCATGAGGGAAATCGTGCACATCCAGGCCGGTCAATGTGGCAACCAGATCGGTGCCAAGGTAAGGATTTTAAACCTCTTTTAACTGTATTTCTTTTTACTAAAGAAAATCCAGGTAAATGATAAAAAAAGAAAGGTTGTAGGACATTCACTCTTTATCTTTAGCCGAGCTTTGCCAAGAAAAAGTTATTATGTATATATACATATATAATACACATTTGTTGCTAGAATTTGCTCTTAAGAAATGAGGAATTATTTTTCTTGGCAGGCTCATTTTGGGGAAGCTATGAAAAGCACCCTACAGGTTTGGGGGGCGGGAAGATCGAGGTTCTGTAAGGTTTTACTTAAAGGGGATCTCCTAACGGTCCGAGGACTGGGGAGGGAGGGAGATGCGGAAACAGCCCGAGACAAAGCGAGGCGAGGTTTTCCCCGGGTGCATCTCCCTTGGCGCGGCTTCGTGTGGCTAAGCCAGACGGGGAAGGGACGGGGCTGGGCGGGCAGCTGCAGAGCTGGGATCCCAAGGTGGGGTCGCGGTGAGCCCCGGTGGGCTGCAGTGCGCGTTGCCGTTCACAAAAGATCAGGGCTCTCCGCGCGCCCGCGATCCCCAAGGGGCGGTCCAGTAGTTTTTCGTGGATGGAAGACTAATAGGTGCTGGCTTAATTTTACTTTCTTTCATTTCCCCTTAAAAGAGACCCTTTTAGGGAGTGAACAGATGAGAGAGGGCGGTAGAAAAGGAGAGGGTTCTTTTTTTTTAAAGGATCCCTTACGACTAAAGGGTGGGAGAAAGGAAGAGGATCGTCCTTTAAAGCAAGGGGTAAAAGCGAAGAAATAAAATTGCAAGGCCAAGGGGGCATTTCTTTTCTTTTGCGCGCGGTTACAATGTAGCGGGGGAAGGGCGGGAGGAAGTGCGGCCGCTACGTTGTAGCAGAAGGGCGGGGCCGGGCGCCCCTGGCGCGCCGGGACAATGCGGTCCTGCCGGCCGGCCGGGGGCGCGCTTGCTCCAGCCGAGCCCCGCCCCGGGCGCGCGGAATTCGCGCCTCGGCCCCGCCCACGCGCGACGCCTCTCTTTGTCGGCTGCTCGGCCCGCGCTTGCGCCGCAGTCACGTGGAGAGGGGCGGGAGGTGGTCGACTGCTGCAGCGGCTCTTTATCTGCCCCGGGTCCTTTGTGCGCAGCGTGGAGGGGCGGTGCCCGGCGGCGGGGGGCGGGCTCTTTTGCAGTCTAGTCAACCTCCTCCATTCCCCCACCCTGGTGCCTGCTCTGCCTGGGCACTCTCAGCGGCACATCAGCTCACCTCTTAAGTAGTGAAAGGCTGCGGCTTTCCCGAGGGTGCGGTGTCTAGGGGAAGGGCGGGGCAGCCAGATAGAGAGGATGCCAGGCCTTACAGCAAGGGCTACCACGGGCGAGCCTGGAACGAAAATGGTTACGAGGGGGCATAATTGGCTGGAACCTGAGCCACTGAGCGGTCATTGCTCTCCCCCGACAGTTCTGGGAGGTGATCAGTGATGAACATGGCATCGACCCCACTGGCACCTACCACGGGGACAGCGACCTGCAGCTGGACCGCATCTCCGTGTACTACAATGAAGCCACAGGTGAGGGCAGGAGCCCGGGAAGCTCGGGTCCCATCTCATCTCCCACTTCTCTGGGGTTGCTCTTCATCCCTGGAGAACCCCTTACCCCTTTTGATGAATCCATCACCCCTTTCCTTTTGAGAGCTTATTTGATTTGATTTCCCACCATCTGGGCCAAAGACTAGCTCTGCTGCCACCTGGTGGCAGCACCTGGAACCACAAGTTTGGGTCCCGGTTGTCTCCCAGCCCCGATTTATTACTTTTTAACTTTTTTTTTTTGAGGTAACATTGGTTTATAACCCAGCCCCGACTTATTTACCTTCTTCCTCTCTGCCAATTTTCACTTCTCTATGTTCTTCCCTGTAGGTGGCAAATATGTTCCTCGTGCTATCTTGGTGGATCTAGAACCTGGGACCATGGACTCTGTTCGCTCAGGTCCTTTTGGCCAGATCTTCAGACCTGACAACTTTGTTTTTGGTGAGTTATACACGTTAGTAGATACGGTCGTATTCAATTTATTTGGGTGCAAGGAGACAGCAAGACTTTGGAGCTGACTGTTGTCCGGGAGAGTTTGTTCAGGGCCGTGTCCTGTAATCTGTGTGGAGGGCGGAGTTAACGACTGCCCGAATAGTAAATTATGGGAGGGATGTATCACAGGCGAGAAAGAAAGAAGATACATCCAAGGGCATTATTCCAAAAGTTGGAAGGTGGAAATGTGGTCATGTATCTTCCACACTTTACTAATCAAGCTTGCCTCCTGACCCCATTCCAGGTCAGTCCGGGGCAGGCAACAACTGGGCCAAGGGCCACTATACAGAGGGGGCCGAGCTGGTTGACTCGGTCCTGGATGTGGTTCGGAAGGAGGCAGAGAGCTGTGACTGCCTGCAGGGCTTCCAGCTGACCCACTCGCTGGGCGGGGGCACGGGCTCTGGAATGGGCACCTTGCTCATCAGCAAGATCCGAGAAGAGTATCCTGACCGCATCATGAATACCTTCAGTGTGGTGCCCTCACCCAAAGTGTCCGACACAGTGGTCGAGCCCTACAACGCCACGCTCTCCGTCCATCAGTTGGTAGAGAACACCGACGAGACCTACTGCATTGACAACGAGGCCCTTTATGACATCTGCTTCCGCACCCTCAAGCTGACCACACCAACCTACGGGGACCTGAACCACCTCGTCTCAGCCACCATGAGCGGTGTCACCACCTGCCTCCGCTTCCCTGGCCAGCTCAATGCTGACCTCCGCAAGCTGGCGGTCAACATGGTGCCCTTCCCACGTCTCCATTTCTTCATGCCTGGCTTCGCCCCTCTGACCAGCCGTGGAAGCCAGCAGTATCGGGCCCTCACTGTGCCCGAACTCACCCAGCAGGTCTTCGATGCCAAGAACATGATGGCTGCCTGTGACCCCCGCCATGGCCGGTACCTCACCGTGGCTGCTGTCTTCCGTGGGCGGATGTCCATGAAGGAGGTAGATGAGCAGATGCTCAACGTGCAAAACAAGAATAGCAGTTACTTCGTGGAATGGATCCCCAACAACGTCAAGACGGCTGTCTGTGACATCCCACCCCGTGGCCTGAAGATGGCTGTCACCTTCATTGGCAACAGCACAGCCATCCAGGAGCTCTTCAAGCGCATCTCAGAGCAGTTCACTGCCATGTTCCGCCGGAAGGCCTTCCTCCACTGGTACACAGGTGAGGGCATGGACGAGATGGAGTTCACCGAGGCTGAGAGCAACATGAACGACCTCGTCTCCGAGTACCAGCAGTACCAAGATGCCACCGCAGAAGAGGAGGAGGATTTCGGTGAGGAGGCCGAAGAAGAGGCCTAAGGCAGAGCCGCATCACCTCAGGCTTCTCCGTTCCCTCAGCCTTCTTCCTCAACTGTCCCTTTCCTCTCCCTCAGAATTTGCGTTTTTCTGCCTCTATCTTGTTTTTTCTTTTTTGGGGGGGGGGGGGTTCTAGAACAGTGCCTGGCACATAATAGGCGCTCAATAAATATTTGTTGTTTGTTGAATGTCTCCTCTCTCTTTCCACTCTGGGAAACCTAGATTTCTGCCATTCTGAGTAACCCTGCATTTCCTTCCAGTGCCCACTCCTCCCATCTGTCCAGTTAATATTTCTCTCTGTTTTCAAGATAATTCTCCAAGAAGCTGGACCTCACTCAGATCCCATTTAGAACTGTGCTGAAAGCCCAGAGAGATGGCCACCATCCTAAGCCCATGTGGTGGCCAACGAGAAAGGATGCCCAGCTAACGGGCAGGTAGAAGCCCCTACAAGGGGTGGGGGATCCAGGCTATATTGCAGTCATAATTCCCAGATATTTCCCTGCTCCTCTCAGCTTCAAGGAGAGGAGTTAACAGTATTATCTCCATTTTCAGTCTCCCTTCAAGCCCTCTCCTGAGCTGTTTCCTTTGCAGGGGTCTGACCCCCCCGCCAAGTGGGGTCCTTCCCTGTCCCACTTTACCTCCCTCATACATTGGATCTTTCCTTACCCATAAAAAGGAATACCCACCCTGCTGGATATGTATGGAGAGCTGTGTACTGCCAACCTAAAATGTGACTCATTCCCCAGAGGGGAGGGGACAGGACAGCATCTTTTGGCAACATCTCATCTCTTGCTATGGCCTTTTTCCCCCACCCTTGGTTTTGTCCTATTCTACGCTTTCAATTTCTATTTTATGTTGAACTTGCTGCTTTTTTTCATATTGAAAAGATGACATTGCCCCAAGAGCCAAAAATAAATGGGAATTGAAAAAAAAAGTTGCGAGATGTGTGCTCATTTAGGGAAAGATGGCTGGTGGAGGCAGGGGCTCGAGTTCAGTTACACAGATGCTCTGCTTTCCGTAAACTGAGAATGTCTGATATTTGACTCTCATCTTTTCTTTTTTTTTTTTTGAGGAAGATTAGCCCTGAGCCTAGCTACTGGCAATCCTCCCCTTTTTTCTGAGGAAAACTGGCCCTAAGCTACCATCCATGCCCATCTTCCTCTACTTTACACATGGGATGCCTACCACAGCATGGCGTTTGCCAAGTGCCAAGCCATGTCTGCACCCAGGATCCGAACCGGTGAACCCCAGGCCGCCGAGAAGCAGAATGTGTGAGCTTAACCGCTGCACCACCGGGCCAACCCCAACCCTCATATCTTAATCCCTGGTACCCAAACCACCCCTCAACCATCAGTACCGGTCTTAATATCGGGGGTAGGCATACACTGAGATGCAGCATCTAGTGATAGAGGAGGGACTGAGATGAATGTCAAGTAGTGCATAAGCAGTTCCCAGACCAGATCAGCCCCCGCTTGGAACTTGTAGGCATGCATGTTCTCAGGCCTGCCCAGATGTACTCAACCAGAAAGGGGTTGGACCCCCGCAGTCTGTTGTAACTGCTCCAGAAGAATCTCAGGAATGTACAGCTGAAAGCCACTGTTGTACCATTTAAATGTACAGTGCACCCAGGATGCCTTTGGGTTATGGGTATCTTGCTGTTTTTTGTAACCCTGTGGGTTTTCTCAGTCAACCTAAGGCAGAAATAACTAGTGGCAGTGCAACATCATGGTCCTATTCTAAACTGATACAGCTCCACCTAATAGCTCATGTTTCTAAGTGCACAAAATAAGTCTCAAAGCTACCCTGAAAACTTAACAATTTAATTTCCCTTGGCCATATTTCCCATAATTCTAGGGACTAGTGTAATTCTCAACATCCCATTTTAGCATGTTTGTTTAAAAATTTTAATTGCAGTAATATTGGATTATGACATACAGCTTTCAGATGTACATCGTAATATTTCAAATTCTGTGTAGATTACATCATGTTCACCACCCAACAAGTAATTATAGTCCATCCCCTCTCATGTGAGCCTAATCACCCGTTTTGCCCTCCCCCCTTCCCCTATGGTAACCACCAATCCATTCTCCAATGCTATATGTGTTTGTCGTTTTTATCTTATGAGTGAGATCATTCAGTAGTTGACTTTGTCCCTGACTAGTTTCACTTAGCATAATACCCTCAAGGACTATCCATGTTGTCACAAATGGCTAGATTTCATCATTTCTTATGGCTGAGTAGTATTCCATTGTGTATAAATAACATCTTTATCGATTCATCCCTTGATAAGCACCTAGGTTGCTTCCAAGTCTTGGCTATTGTGCATAATGCTGCAATATTATTTTTTTTTGAGGAAGATTAGCCCTGAGCTAACATCTGCTGCCAATCCTCTTTTTGCTGAGGAAGACTGGGCCCAGAGCTAACATCCATGCCCATCTTCCTCTACTTTATATGCAGGATGCCTACCACAGCATGGCTTGCCAAGCAGTGCCATGTCCGCACCTGGGATCCGAACCAGTGAACCCCGGGCCGCCGAAGCGGAACATGCATACACACTTAACTGCTGCACTGCCAGGCCGGCCCTGGCATGCTTTTCTGACTACAGCTTTTGGGGAAAAATTCTACAACTCTTTTAAGCATGTATAAGTAACTATTGCCTTTCATTCTAAAAAGCCTATTGAATGCAATGGAGCAAGCTACATTCTGGCATTCATTTTGAATGAGTTCTCCTTTGTTAATTGTTCATAAGTATTAGTACTTATTAATGGCAATTTATTTGACAAGTAAAGCTGAGAACTTCCAGGCTATCCCTCAGTCTTGGTGAGGAAAGAATTCTGGACAACAGGCTCAGGCAGTCTAATTAGGAAGTGAAAGTTAAATAAGTTGGGGGTGGGGTGTGACAATCAGAAGGTTGGCACAGGACCCCCAGGGGACTGGCAGTCTTGGCAGTGTGGGGCTGGGAAGGGGAGCAGCCCTTCCCCTCCAAGGCAAGGCACAGGCTATTTGGCAAGGAGAGATGAGGGGTGGAACCCCACTGTCAGGACATGCTCAGGGAAGCCAGTTGAAGTGCATGCAATATAAGGACCACTCAGGCAACTTGAGTCATGAGATGAAGCAGCAGCGAAGGTCCAGGGCTCAGGCTGTTCGCAGAGGCTTGTGGTTCACCTGGCAAGAAGATAACAGTGGATGACACTTGGGAACCAGATACCTGCTCTCCCAGGCCCCCATTTGGACGAATGGGCTGCAGGAAGTACATGCACTTGCAGGAATTTTCTGGTTTTTTTCTGGAACCCTACCTCACTCCCTTTTGCGAAGGAGTCAGGATCCATGCATAACAACGAATTACAGAAAGCGGGTGGAGGGGCTGGAGCTCTGCTTGCATGGACCCTCTTTAGCTCCCCATCTTCTACTGCAGGCCTCAAGGAGGCTCCAAGGAACCCACTTGAAAGTCACTGATACGGTCCAATGCTTTTACTTATGTATGTAATTTTTTTTTTTAAAGATTTTATTTTTCCTTTTTCTCCCCAAAGCTCCCTGGTACATAGTTGTGTATTTTTAGTTGTGGGTCCTTCTAGTTGTGGCATGTGGGACGCCACTTCAGCATGGCTTGATGAGTGGTGCCATGTCCGCACTGGGGAAACCCTGGGCCACGAAAGCAGAGCACGTCAACATAACCACTTAGCCATGGGCTGGCCCCTATTAACCTGATTTTTTTTTTTTTTTTTTGAGGAAGATTAGCCCTGAGCTAACTACTACCAATCCTCCTCTTTTTGCCGAGGAAGACTGGCCTTGAGCTAACATCCATGCCCATCTTCCCCTACTTTATATGTGGGACGCCTACCACAGCATGGCATGCCAAGCGGTGCCATGTCCACACCCGGGATCTGAACAGACGAACCCCGGGCTGCCGAAGCCGTTAAGCGCACTTAACCGCTGTGCCACCGGGCCGGCCCCTATTAACCTGATTTTAAGGTGAGGAAACAGATACAGAGAAGTTGATAACTTGTCCAAGGTCACAGCTAGCATGCACTGGAGCCAGAAATCACATCACAACAGTCTGGTTCCAGGGCCCACTCTGACCACTACCATGATCTACAGGCACCAAGAAAAGCAGTGATATGCCTTGGAATTAATTAATTGTCAACGGGCTGCAACTAGTTCCTTGTATTAGTGGGCTGACCACAAGCACTGGCTCCAGAGACAGGTGGCCTGGGTTTGAAGCCTAGCTTCACTGGCTATATGACATGGGTTAAGTTACTTCACATGTTGGAGTTTGATTTCTTTACTTTGTACAATACTACATGCCCCAGTGGTAGTCTGATTAAAATATAAAAAAACAAACCGCTTGTGTAGCAGCTTAGTACTGTCTGGCACATAGAAAGCAGTTCATAAATATCATCGACCCCCAGGCCTCTGGGGTGCTGGCCCAGTGTTGGGCCCACTGCACCACATGCCACAAGAACTCAGCAGTTCTGCTCCACAGCCCCCACCCCACAGACCCTCACCTGGGAGATGCTGACGCCTGTGAGTCTCTCCACACACTCTGGCAGGCGGCTCAGGATGTCCAGGACTTCCCCAGTCACTTTGGCTGCTCCCATGGTTCCACTTCCACTGGACACCAGTGTGATCTTCTTGGCTGAGGTCAAGGGACCACTGATCTCCTCTGCCACCTGATAGGTGAGATGTCCACTCAGCTCCTGTGGTCTGACCATACCCCTCCTAGGATGCCTTACTCTGGGTTTTAAGACCCTTATCCTTCTTCACTTTGGTAAGGATCATCCTTTCTCACTTTGGGCATGGGCTTATAATTCCCACCCCTAATTTAAGGTCCCCTAGCCTGGTTCTCCCCAAGCCGCTCATTTCCTACCACCCCTCATTCCCCGGTTCTGTTCCTCCTCTCCCAGGACCCACACAACCCCCGCACCTGGGGCAGCTTCTCTAGCAGCATATCCAGCTGAGCAGCCTCCTGGTACAGCTGGAATGCTTCTGCCTTCTTGGACATTTGCTCGGCATCAGCCCGGGCTCGGGCCCCTATGGCAAAGGCCTCAGCCTCCCCACGCATCTGGGGAAGGTACAGGATATAGTTAGGGACAAGAAACCCCAGCTCGAGCAGCAACCCCCACTCCCTCCACAAGCCAGTAAGAGCCACCTCCTAACTCACCCGCACAGATTCAGCTTCTGCCTCTGCCTGCATAATCAGCTGGGTCCTGGGCAAAGAAGGGAAGTGGGGGGAGGAGCTGAGAAGGGGCCCTCACTCCCAGGAGAAAGGCCACAAGCTGGAAAGACAGAGGCTCCCGCAACCTGAGTTCCCTACAAGGAGTCCAGGTTGTGAAGGCCTCAACTCTTCATCTGGGGATGCCCAGATGGCGAAGGAGCCAGAAGGGGGCCAGGGAGGGGGCATTTACTTCTCTGCCTCGGCTAGGCGCTCCAGCTTGTAGCGCTCAGCTTCCGCTGGCTTCCGCACCCGGGCCTCCAGCTCCTTCTCTCGGCGGGCAATCTCCTGCTCCTGCACTGCCACCTGCTGGGCTCGCTCCACCACCTGCACCTGTACCCGCTGCTCCTCGATCTGTTGCTTAGTCTTGGCCACCTGGGTAAGAAGGATGCTCAGTGTCAGAGCTGAAGAGCAAGCACCCAGAACCAGGGCTCCAGGGTGGGATACAAAAACAGGGTAGGTACAGGAAGTTGGTCCCTGGTGGGCTCAGCCAGCCCAATGGAGTCCATTTCCCACATAGATCCAAGGCACGGCCTGATCCTCCTTCTCAGAGCCAGTATCAAGGTTAGGGCATCCCCCAGGCAGCCTCAGCGTTGGAGCTGGATAGGGCTGGGACCCAGTCCCTGCTCTTCCTCCAGGTGAAGTGTCCCTCTGATGAACTCCCATATTAGTCAGTTTCTCCACCGTGTCTCCCTCTGGAGTATGAGCACCTGGAGGGCACTGAGCACATGGTGGCCATCTTCTCCCTCCAGTCCTGCTCAAATCCACCCATTCTGTCCATCTGTGCTGCCATAACCTTAATGCAAGGCACTGTCAGCTCTAGCCCTGACTACACAATAGCCTCCTACTGACTTTCTTCTTTGGGGAGCCGCGTGTGTGTGTCTTTTTCATTTTTATCTTTTGTATATGGCACAAACTCAAAAGAAAAAAGTATACAATGAAAAGTAAGGCTTCCTCCCATCTATTTCCTCAAATTACCCTGTTCCTTTCCCCGAAAGCAACCACTGTGACCTTCTTTTGTACTCTCCCAGGGACACTCTAAGCATCAACAAGAATGTGTATATATAGAATTCCTGTTATTAGGCAAGTTTCACTTTCTTATTCCTTGTAGAGCACAGGGATCAGAAGGCTCTTGCCAAGAAGCTGGTGAGGAGAGGCACTGAGGAGGAACACACTTTATTGTCTCACTGCTCTGCCTCAGCCATGCACCATCATCCCTGTGGGTCTCATCAATAAAGAGTTGGTGCCCCTGCCTTTACTGGGTCCATGGTCACTGCAGAGGAAGGGTGCTTCTGGATATGGTACCCTGGACTATCTTTGACCCTAAAACTTCAAACTGGTTCCAAACTGGACTAGTTGCTTTCTACCCCAGTGTGCAGGATCATCTCTCTCTGTGTTGGAGTCATCTCTCTTTCTTTCTCTCTTTCTCATTTAGGCCCACCTTTTGGTGAAACAACCTCCAGGAGTTTCCTCCGAAAGAGTATCTGGGCAATAAGTCTTCCGAGACCTTGCATCTCGGGAGATGTTTCTTTTACCCTTCTATTTGAAGGACAATTAGGTTGAGCACAGGTTACTATGCTGGAATTCATTTTCCATTAGAATTTTGAAGGGACTGGTCCATGGTCTTCTAGCTTCTTGAGAAATCTGAAGTCACTTTGATGCCTGACCCTTTGTTTGACATCTGTTCTTTCTCCCTGGAAGTTTTTAGATCTTTTCTTTGTTCTCAGTGTTCTGAAATTTCACAGCGGACATGTCCTTCACTCATTGTGTTGGGCACTTGGAGGACCGTTTCAATCTAGAAAGTCACGCTCTTCAGAACAGATAAACATTTTTGAGTTTTTTTCATGGGTGATTTTTTCCCATTTGTTCTGTTGGATCTCCTGGACTGGTCTCTAATATTTTTATCGTTTCTAATTTTTCCCAACTGTTCTGTTCTATTTCCTGGGAGATTTATTAGAATTTCTCTTTCAACATGATTTTTCCCATTTCTGCCATCTTATTAGTTTCTAAAAGATTTTTTGTTTTCTATGTCTTGATTTCCTGAATGTGAATTCTTCTGTCTCACGGAGGATATTAAATCTTTTTTTTTTTTTTGGTTTTATTTTTTCCTTTTTCTCCCCAAAGCCCCCCAGTACATAGTTGTATATTCTTAGTTATGGGTCCTTCTAGTTGTGGCATGTGGGACGCCGCCTCAGCATGGCTTGACGAGTGGTGCCATGTCCATGCCCAGGATTCGAAGCAGCGAAACCCTGGGCCACCGCAGCGGAGTGGGCGAACTTTACCACTCGGCCATGGGGCTGGCCCCTAAATCATTTTTTAAAGCTTTCTTCTCCTTGCGTAGTACTGTTAAAATCAATAAAGGAAACCTCAACTAAAATTGGAGTCAAGAATGCCTGTAGAGGGAGCTCTCATGCCCTAGCACTCCTGGTCAATTAGTGTCAGTTAATTACAGCCAGTCACAGACGCCAACAGGAAGAGCCACCATACTTTGCACTCGCAAACAGGAAGTGCAACTACTTTACTGCTCCAGCAGGAGGAAGATTTCCTTCTTGCCCAACAACCCCAGCCAACAGAAATACCGCAGCTCAGCCATAAGAAGCCATCATCGCCTGAACTTACTTTCCTCCAATGAACTTTCATTTTTTCCTTGCTGAAGACTTGTCTCCCTCTCCTATAAAAGCCTTCCATGCTGTGTAACCCGTGTGAGTCTCTCTGCTTGCCAGGTGAGATGCTGCCCAATTCAGGAATGGTTTAATAAAGCCAATTAGATCTTCAAATTTACTCAGTTTCATTTTGTCCTTTTAACAGTATGTATCCTTCGACTTGCTTTGCTGTTTGTGGTTTTGGTCTCAGCCTACCATGCTGCAGGAATCCCTCATACATCAGGTAACCCCTGGTTGTCTGCTCATGGGTGAAGAAGGTGTAAAACACTGAAGAGGCTCTGGGTGTGTGGTTGAGGCTTGTTGATTCTGAGCTTCACTCTAGGGTGATCTGGGCAGGCCATTTGCTGAGGAACCTCTGATTCAGGATCTCTAAGTCTGTCCTTTTAGATTGGTCATGTTCCCCAGAGCAGTCTTCAGATCTCTTCTTTGGAAGATAGAGGGTCTAGGAGCCAAGTGGGGTGAGGGGGTTAAGGGAGGCTGTCAGCATTTAGCATTCAAAAGGCACACAGTTACTTCATGCCCCTGCTACTGGCAAAGTACCAGCCCTCACCTGTGCCTGGCTGGCCCCAGGTCACATCCTCTGGTTTACTTTTATCAGTTAATAAACCTCCAGATGTCTACTGGAGCAGAGAAGGGATTATTACCCAGAGGCAGGGAGCCAGAGAGGGGCTCTAACTGAGAAGTCACTTTTCACGTGTTTCCCCTTATTTCAACAGTCTTTATCACAGCTTCCTGGGCCCCTGATGCTGCTAGCTCCTGAGCCTCAGATCATTTCAGTTTTCTCCCTGCAGCTTTGCACTCAGCTGTCTCAGACTTACTTAGCCAATTACCATGGCTTTTCAGCTTCCAAAATGATGCCATGATTTCTGTTCCTTCTGCTCCTTTTCTGTCCATCTTTATCTTTTCTTTCTTTCCTTCTTTTTTTTAAAATCACTCTACGCGGTTTTAGTGAGGTTTTAAGAGGGAGTGCAATTAGCTGCATTTATGCAATCCATCATCTTTGAACAAGCTTCTGACTCATCTCCCTGCTTCCTCTCTTCTCTTTTGATAATCAATTCTCCACACAGCAGCCAGTCTGATCCTTGTAAAAATGTTAATTAGACCACAGCATCTCCCTGCTTAACGTTCTCTAATAGTTTTCCATTGTGCTTTGAATTCTCTTCTAAGTCTCCAACATGGCCATCTGAACCCTACATGATCTGGCCCTGCCTGCTGCTTCTCACTCAAAGCACACCAGCCACACCAGATCAGAAACCTCCTTCCTGTTCCTGGGACACGCTAAGCTCTTTCCTACCTCAGGGCCTTTGCGGGTGGTCTCCCTGCCTAGCCACTAGCCACATCTGGCTATTTAAATTTAAATTAATTAAAATTAAATAAAATGTAAGACTCAGTTCAGTCACACTACCTACATTTCAAGTGCTCAACATCACAGCACAGGATACAGCACATCACCATCATCAGAGAAAGTTGTATTTGACCAGCACTGGCCTAGAATGCTCTTGGCCCACAAGTCTACACTCCTAGCTCTTTCTCACCATCTGGTTTTACCTCATCCTCACTGAAGCTTTCTCTGACCACCCCCAACCTAATATAGTACTCCCCCACTGCTTTTCACACACCCCTGCTTATTTCCTTCATAGTACTTCAACAAGAGATTTAGAACCTATGAAGGTTATTTAGTTGCTTATTAGCTGTTTCCCATGTTACAATGTAAACTCCATGAGGGCAGGAATCTTTTCTCATCCATACTTCTAACTTCACCTGCAAAACAATGTCTGCCACATAATAGGCACTTAATGGATATTTATTGAATGAATTCTTATTTCCCCAGCCCCTAGCACAGAGCCTGGCACAAAATGAGGAACTGATCAAGGCTGAACAGAGCCCAAACCATCCTGATCCCTTGATATGCTGAGAAGGAAAGCCATGTTTAGAAGGTTAAGGACTTTATCCCTGGGTGGGTTAAGTACCACCCAAGCTAGCATTCATGTTCAATGCGTACATGAATCACCCAGGGATTTTGCTAAAAGGCAGATTCTGATTCAGTCAGTAGGGCTGGGGCCTGAGATTTTATATCTCTAACAAGCTGCCCAGTGATGCTGATGCTGCTGATAGAACACACTTTGAGTAGTAAAGCACTGGCTACACTTCATTACCTGTAAACCACACGGGAATTAAACATCATAACTAAAGATGTTTTGCATCTCATTATGCTTCCACCCTGTACCAACTCTTGGCAAAAATGAGTTTCATGATATTGCTATCCTTTGAGTAAAGGTCTCAAAGAACAGTTGATTCTCATTATTCACAGCAGTTCTCTTCTATAAAGTAGCCATGAACCTTGAATTAGCAGAGAGTTATTTTGTTTCTATTAGGTTCGTATGAGCCTCTGGCCACATTTTCACCAACAGATCAATCTATAACCTTATTTTACATGTGTTCCTGTTTAAAGACACCTTATGTGATATATATTGTTGATTCATTAACATTGAACTCATAGCCAACAGCACTATAACTCCTGCCTGAACAAAGCTTATCTAACACACGTGTTTTCTCCGTAAGACTTATATTATAGCCTTCGTGCACTTAGGAACATGAGACAGCAGAAGGCTTGGGGGCCATTTTCAACAGCCAAATCACCAAGAAAGAGCCCAAAAATGTGAAAAATGCGGCAGTAAATACGTGAAAATGACACTGTTTACAATGTGAGAGCTGAAACAAGAAAGCAAACATCTTCTTGTCCAACTTCAACTGGAACCTGCACATCAGGCTACTCCAGTTTTTCCTCACTCTGTGCATGTCTACAAATGGCCACAAAAGCACTCCAGGGACTGATTTTGGGGTTACCCATCAATTTTAGCAAGTAGGCAAAGTCTCAAATACCGAATCTGCAGATGAGGATCGACTGTACCTCCTTGCAATATCAAGGGCTGCCCATATCTCACTTTGCAGGACTCAATGCCCAGGTCCATGTTTTCCTTCCCCACACCCTTCTTTGATCACCATGGAAACTGTGAGCCTGTGGGATTGCCCTGTGCAAATTAGAAAAAGGCGCCCCTTCCTCTGGGTGGCTGCAGACCCACAGACCCAGGCCAGAATGCACAGCGTTCTGTACGAGTGGAGCACGGGCTGGATTTTAGCTCTGGCCCACCTCCATCCAGGGGCCCTTGCACAACCTGACCCAAGCATATGATCAGCCCTATTGGTCAGATCCCTTTTCAGCCTTTTCTTTGCTTTTCAGCTGAAACGTTTGGGTCTTTTAAATCTTCCTCAGATGGAGAATTTGAATTAGAAATGGAAAGCCAGAATAAAGGGATCAGAGTTAGTGTATGAGAAGGAGGGAGGGCCTGAGGGGAATAGGGAAGGGGCAAAGTCCAGCCTAGCCATCCGCCCAGTGTGGTGGCTCTGACCTGAAGCTGATAGGCCAGGTCAGCCTGTGCTCGGCGGGTGTTGACTTCGATGTCATATGCGGCCTTCTTCAGCTCATAGTCCCTCTGCGCCTTGGCCATCTCGATCTCACTCAGGTACTGGGCAGACACCTTTTCCTGCTTGGCTTTGGCTTCCTGTCCACAGAGATCGGGTAGAAGTCAGAATGGGGAGACCAAGGCCACAGGGGGAGAGTTGACTTCCCACAGTCTCCCCTGTCTCCACCCTGGCGCTGGCTTCATGCAGTTCCTCTGCCAACCCACCTCCACCAGCCCCCGCTCAGTTGTGCCCCTTCCATCTCCTCTCCCACCCGGTGCCCAATAAGCCCACGGTGACCAAGTGACCCCCATCTCTCTCACCCGGATCCCAGCATCTCTTTTGGCTTCCGCCTCCCCAATCCGAGCATCCTTTTGGACTTGAGCTGTTCGAGCCTTCCCCAAGGAATGCAAATAGTCCTGTGGGAGAGACGCAGAAATCAGAGTCCTCAGGAGGGTTTAAGAGATGGGAGCAGGGAAGCAGAGAGGAGCAGCTGCCAAGGTTTACCTGGTCATCATGAATGTCCTTCAGGGTGTAGCTAACCACACTGATGCCCATGTTGACCAGGTCTGAGGAGGCCACTTTGAAAACTTGCTCTGAGAATTTCTGCCTGTCCTTATAGATTTCCTAGGATAACAGGATGGTGGGAAGGAGGAACTCAAGCTTTCAGATCCTCCAGCTACTCTCTCCCACAGACTAGCTTGGTCCCTAGGCACATACCCCCTGCCCCCTAACCGTGCTCTGACATCCCTTCCAGATCTCTCCCTGCCCTCGGACCCACCTCTACAGTCATGTGGGCCATGATAGCCCTCTGGTGGCCCTCCAGCGTCTCCAGTGCAATTTGGGCAATCTCAGCCTCAGTCTTCCCGAGGAACATCTGGCAGGCAGCTGCCAACATCTCCTTGTTCTGCCCCTGGATTTTCACCTGTAGCCAGAGTAGGGGTAGGGAGGGTATGGTGGTGGTCTCATGGGGCCAGGGAAGAAGCAGAGAGAGAAGTGGGAGCCCTCTAGGAGAAACTTCTTCCATCCCAGAGAGAGCAGGGAGAGGGAGTCAAGTGCCTTAGGCGTCCCTGGAAAAGGCGAGACTAGCAGAGAAATTTCTCTGCAGGCAGAGGTTGGGAAGGCCATGGTCAGAAGATTCTTAAGGTCTGGGGACAGAGAAGGTGATGGAGGTGTGGACTGATGGGGAAAGGCTCTGAAAGCCTCACCTGGGCAATGCCAGTGACTGAGATGGGGACCCCATGGCGAGTGTAAACCTTTTCACTCTTGACATTGAGGGTCAGTGTGTTGAGAGAGATCCTAGGGGAAAAAGAAGGGGTGGGCAGTGAGAAGATGAGGAAAGAGAGAAAACTGGGGCCCCCTTCCCTGGTTCTCTTCTACCCACCTCTGGATTTGCTGGATGCAGGGCAGGACAAAGACACGTCCTCCAGCCACCATGACCGGGGGGCTCCGGCAGAAACCTGCAAGGTGAGGGGGCAGTGAGCTGCGGTGTCCGCGGCAGAGCTGGAATGTGGAAGACTGAAGAACTTGGTGGGGGGGGGGGGGGCAGCCTCACGAAAAAATCTGGGAGCTGCAGGGGAGGCCGTCTTGGCCTTGGAAGGGTAGCGGCCGGGAATCACAAGTGGGTGGGGTGGGGCAGAAGGCTTGGGCTGGGGAGCTGGTAGGGAGAGGGGGAAGGGGCAGAGACCAGACTCGCACTGGTTTTGAGGTCACTGACTGAGAAGAGAACAATACTTACCGGAGACCACCATGGCCTCATTTGGACCACAGGTGAAAAACATGGTTCAGGTTGGAGCTGGAGGAGAGGGAGAGAAAGCCTCTGCGGAAGGGGAAGGGGCGCTGTGGAGTCCACAGGAGTGAATCCCTTCCTTTCCCGTAGGTCCCGCCCAGTCTGGAGCCACCTAGGCCCAGTTCCTTCCGCACCCGGGGGTCCGCTAAAGCTTTTCCCTATGAAATCCCGCAGATCACCAGCGATTCCGGCCCCCGCCCGCTTACGGCCACTCCCCTCCCTTTGCCGCGTCCTTGCCTTCCGTGAGGACCGTTTCTCCCTTATCTAATAAAGCTCTTCAGCGCCTACAAGCCCCCAGACCTTGCGCCACCCTCCCTGCTCCTCCGCAGCCCCACTCTGTCTTCCCGCCCCCACCTACCTTCCTGGTAGCGGGCGGCGGCCGGGCCGGGGTCCCGGGAAGGGCAGGGGCGCGCGGGGTACCCGGGAGCCGAGCAGGGAGCGCCTCACGCACCACCTTCTAGGAAGCCGGGCCCACGCTGGCGCCCCCCGACCCAGCCGCGCCCTGTTGCTGCAACAGACATGACCCCGCCCCCTGGGGTGGACCCTCCCCACGCCACGGCCCTGCGCGCTCGGCCCGCCCTTTTCCCAGCAGGCCCCGCTCGGGTCCGCAGCCCGCCGCCCGCCGGGTGCACTAGCGTAGCCTAGCAAGCCAGGGGTGGGGCCCCGCTTCGCCGCCACCCCGCCACCGCCCTTCGCGAGCCGGGAGCCCCGCCCAGGCCGCCCCAAGCTCCGCCCCGGGCTGCGGGACATGACCTCCGTGGGTCACCCCAGGGAGATTGCCTCATCTCGGATTTGCCCCTCGCTAATTGGGAAAGTCACACACTGGGCAGCTAACGACTGCATCCGGTCACCGGATGCTGGGTTCCGAGGCTCCGGGAAGAGTGGCTTCGGAGCCCGGAGAGGAGCGCCTGCTGGGGACGTGGCCTCGGCTCCCCGCGCCGGTCCCTGGCTCCCGAAGGCGGGAGGAGTGGGGAGTCGCCGCTTGCAAAGATACACTCAAATGACTGCGGACAGTAAGTCGAGTTTATTTGTGTTCACAGAACATACCGGACGACCCCACCTCCGCCCCCTGACAGCTCACCGCCTCCCGACCCCGCAGCCACCCCCTGGGGGCAACTTCGAAGAGATCGAAGGCCAAGGACCGTATTCCCAACGGTCCGCCGAAGCCTCACACACTAGACAAGCGGCGTTGAGATGCTGGAGGACGGAGAGGGTCAACGGCTAAACCTACGACCCACCACCGGCCTTGACCCCCAGCCCGGGCGCCCTCCTGGACCCAGGTCTTCTCCATTCCCTCTCGCTGTCTCCCTCATTTCTAGGCGCCCTGCCTCCACCAATCCCATAAAGCTCAATAAATACCAAGAGATCTGCATTTGCAGCAAGGGAGCACATCTCGCACCCGTGCATAAGTTAAAATAAATATTACACACAGCCCTCCATCACCTAGGGGGGACATACATAAATATATATAAATATTAATTAGGAACACTGAGAAATAAATTAACGACGCTCTCCTGCACCCGGCCCAGCCCCGGGGTGTCGCGCTTGTCTCCTCCCAGGCGCGGGCGGGCGTCTCCGCTGTAGTGTTCTGAGTCTGAGTTGCCTCGGAGTCCCACTTTGGGATACGCTCTTGCGCACCAGGTACACCTGGTGTTTCTTTAATTTTTTCAGGTTCTTTTTTGGGAGTATGGGGAGTCACGGTTAAAAGGCAGCCGGGTGTTGCTGGAGAAACGTGCTGAGTTCTAGAGCGTAGTCCGAGGGCTCCGAGGTCAGATTAAAGGGCTCGAGGACCGGGGCAGGGGTAGGCGCGGGGGACGCGGCGCTGGGGGCATCCTCCGGGGCCAGGGGTGCCGGCACAACCTCTTCAGCCATCAGGATCTGGCAGAAGATGATGGTGAGCAGAAGAAAGAGGAACTTTTTGGCTGGGTTCGGATCCTCGACTGGCAGTTGGCGCCGGACCTGAGGGGAGGCAACAAAGGGAACAGGTCAGCTCAGGGCCCCGGCGTCCAGCTGTTCCCCCCCGCTGTCCACTTCGGCGACACTCACCACTCGTGGGTAGAGGACCCTACGGCTGCGCTTTCGGTGCCCGCGGGAGACACTGGGGCGCGCTGCGGGGGCCACGGCGGGCTCCGGGAGAGGGTCGAAGGTGAAGATCTCGGGACCGGAGCCCCTCCTGGGTCCCGGGCTGGTGGAGGGGCCGGGTGTCGGGGCCCGCAGGACGGTCATGGTGGGGAGGGAGCTCCGAGAGTGACACATTTTGCGCCGAGCGAAGCAGCAGACCGAGTGCGGCCCGGCGGTCGCGCGGAGCTAGTTATATTGGCTGAGACGTGGGCGGGCCCGTCTCGACTCCACCCCCGGCCCGGAGCAGTGGAAATTCCGAGGATGAAGCAAAGGGAGGGGGTGGAGAGCTGGCCTGTGCAACCCCAAGTGTATATTGTGAGCGTGTGAGTTGTGAGTGGGGATGGGCGAGATGCCGGGCTGCAGGCACATGTTGGGACGTGAGGCAGCTGGAGAGGGTCCCACAAACAGTTTAGGAGATGGTTCAGCCACAGGCAGCATCTCTGGGGAGGCAGGAGGGCTTACATAAGATGTCTGACCGTCCTGCTACAATACGGACCCAGCAAACTCAAGGAACCACAGTTACACACGCACATTCACACACTTGTAGATACACATAGACAACACACGCCCCACCCCACGAGGAAGGTCATTACAGAAACAGCCAAGAAGAGAAAGAGAAATAAACACATTAGCACACACAGATGCAACCCTGCCTGCCTTAGCGTGTGCATACACACACTCACACCCCCCCCACATTGTTGAGGTGGAAACATTTTTCCTTCTTCCTTCTAGGTTCTTTGGCTGGTCTAATAATTAAATTGACATAAGAGAGATTAACAGGAGAAAAACAAATTTGCCTACTTGCGGGAGCCCACTGAGACAGAAGACTCACAAGCAGTCAGGCAATTGAGGCTTATATGCCGTCCTGAGCTAAGGAATGGGATAGGGGCCCGGGGCTTCCAAGGGGAGGAGGGCAGTTCACAGGGAGATAGAAGAGCAGGGGTTTGGCCATCAGATGCTGGCCCTGCCATGCAGGTAAGCCTTTCAGATAAAAAAGTTAATAATAGCTAATTATTAAAGTTAATAATAATAGCTAATAATAGCTCTCTTTCTAGGCCCGGTCCCCTATCTAAATTCCTTTAGGCAGTTAAGGGAGAGATAAAAGCTTTTCCTGAATCTGCTGGTCTTGACTGCCTTCAGCTCAAAATAATCCACATGCTGAAGTGGGACATTTTGGGGTGGCATGTTCTGCTCCCCTTCAACATACACGTAGCGCGTGTACGCACACACACCCACACACACAGGCCAAGGGTGCAGAGACTGCACAGGGAAAGCCCAGCAAAGCTACCCACTTAGAGGTGTGCAGAAATGTTCACACGAAGCTGGGGCAGGGGACCACAAAACACAAAGGCAAGAGGTTAGCAGCCACCCAGATTTGCCCCTTGTTGTATGGATCAAATGACAAAATGTGCGTGAAGAACATTTTAAACTGTGAGACATTATGCAGATGTTGTGGTAACGGTAACCCAGCTTAAGACAGAATGGACACATTTTCATAACTGCCTTGGAGATGGCTGCTCATAGACACAGGATTTAACATCTTTTGAGCATTTCCACAGGCCAGGCACCCTGTTAAATGTGCTGTTTAGGGGCAGGCCCAGTGGCGTAGCAGTTAAGTGCGCATGTTCCGCTTCGGCGGCCCAGGGTTCACCGGTTCAGATCCCGGGTGTGGACATGGCACCGCTTGGCAAAAGCCATGCTGTGGTAGGCATCCCACATATAAAGTAGAGGAAGATAGGCATGGATGTTAGCTCAGGGCCAGTCTTCCTCAGCAAAAAGAGGGGGGTTAGCAGCAGATGTTAGCTCAGAGCGAATCTTCCTCAAAAAAAAAAAAAAAAGGTACTGTTGAGAGTACTGAGGTTGGTTTCAGTGTGTGTTGCTGCTCAGTGGGGCAAGCCAGAGACAGTGGGCACCTCAGCCTTGTGGGCCTTAGCCTCTGGCATGGGGAGGGGACCCTGACCAGGAGAACTCCCTGGAGGGTCCTGAGAAAGTGGAAGAGAAAGTGCAAGGGGGACCCAAAAGAGCTAGTGTTCTAATCAATCAGACAAGGCTTCATGGAAGAGAGACATTTGAGATGACCTTGCACAGTGGGTGGCAGCCAAAGAGTCAGATGTGGAAGATGACTGTGAGAAAGAATGGAATCAGCAAAGGCCTTGAGCTGGAAAAGTACAGGATGTGTTGCAGGGGAATCACAAGAAAAACAATCCCAGGGTGAGTTTCCTGTAAAGGAGAAGTGGAAGTAATGATGGATGGCAGAGTGGGGAGAGCTTTGCTGTCAGGCCAGGAGACTGGGTTTGACTCTAGACTATGAAGCGTGTGGGTCACAGCATGACATAAAAGGAAGGCAATTCAAGGTGGGAAGTGAGTGGGATGAGGAGTAGGCTCTGGATGGAGAGACCCTGAGGCAGGGACAGGAGGCTGTCGGAGAGGTTCAGGTGGAAAGAAACAAGGGTGTGAAAAGGGCCATGGCAGAGGGAACCAAGAGGAAGGGTGGCTATAAGAGACAGTCCTAGCATAAGATCACCGGAATTTAGCAATAAGATGGGTATCTATGGAGTCAGGGAGATGGAGCGTGGGGGCGCCAACAGCAAGATGATGAAGGGGTCACAGCTGACTCCCAGGATTTGAAATACATCTGGCTCAGATCTTTACACCAGATCATATCGTGCCTGGTGCACATGGCGAGCACATGTATGACCTTTTCCATTAGAGGCTGTGTCACACATATCTTTGTGTCCTCCACAGGATCCCGCATGGTACCTTGCATGTACTAGTTGTTCAGTAATCTTGGCGTATGAAAGGTGAAAATGCAGAACTATAAATGCACATATAGTAGTCACACACTGGCTGGGTCACCTCAAGCTTTTGAGATGTGGATGCACTCCTTCAAACTCCACATACAAATTTACAACCTCTTGAGAAAAGCTAGGACAATTTTTACACAGACAGAGAACAAGGAATCCTTCAGGGCCTTTCTCAACGAAGGATGTGTGAGGATGCAAAGGGGACAGCCCCACAATGGGAGATACTTTATTGCTGTATATACAATTGCTTCCTGGGCGTATGTGTCACTTTATTTTACACCCACTACTCCTGTTTAAACATGCAAGGCCCCTTCAGCATTACACACTTCTTCCTGACATAAATAACACACACCTCCTCTGCAAACAAAGACACATCCCTTTCCCATGCCTACCGTCATCTTTACATTTACACTCAAGCACGGGGAGCCCGCACACCCACCTACACCCTTATTCTAAGGCAAGTGGCACACTACACAACGATCAACATAAATACATGACTACTTATAAGTGTGGACAGGTCCACATGCTCACACAGACATAAATTGGGGGTAAGGGGAGCTGGCGATGATAGAAGAAAATTGCCTGGTGGGAGAGAGGGGGAGGCACCCAAGGTCAGGAATGCATAACTTGTTTATGATGGAAAATTTCTCCAGGGCATTAGACGGGGGAGGGGAAATGAAGGGGGAGATGTTAGGATCTTTGTTTCCCTCTCCCTCCCACATCTGGAATCCAGACCTCCAGCTGGGCCTAGTTATCCTCACCGTCCTCCTGGCACAGAGAGACCTTTCTTTATGGCAAGACCAAAATGGGGCAAAGAGAAGAAGCAGAGAACCCAGATGGCTGGCTGGCCATTTCTTCTCAACCAATCCCATGCCCATTCCTGCTACCTTCAAAGAGCCAGGGCTCTGCTCCATACCCTCCCGTGGCCCAGGAAGCTGGGGAAAGGTTGAAAGTGAATCATTAAGCCAAGAGGGGATGTGGGGGTGAGGGTTGGCGGAAGATTTAAGACCAGAAAGGGCCAGGGGCTGAGACCAGCAGCTGGACCGGTTCTCACTGCCCTCATCCTAGGCAAACAGGCCCTTAGCCTCTTCCATTTCCAGCCGTACTCATTTCCTCCCCATCTTCCCAAAATCACCATGTGCCTTCCTTCCCCTCGTTTCTTAACCTCCCATAACCTTTCTTAGCCCCTTGTTTGTTTTCTTCATAACACTCACCACAGCAGGGAATCATTTTATGGATTTGTTTACTTTTTGTTGTTGTCCATCTCTCCCACGGGAATATAATCTCCTTGTGGACACAGGACCACATCCGCCCTCCCCTCGTGATAGCTCTGTGGGATCTCCAGGACTTGGCCTTTCACCTAGTAGGGGCTTAATCAATATTCTTAAACCCATCTCCTCTGAGGTGTCTGTCTGGAAGGCTGTGTCCTCTCGGAGACCCCCACACTTCGACTTCAGAGAGGAGTTTGGGGGATGTTCCCCTGAGGCTCAGGGTGACCTGCCATTAGATCAGGAATAACTGTGCAGGTGACACATGGCAAAGCCCTGGCCCTCACCCTTCATAAGTCCCTGACATAGGAGTGAGTCATGCCTGCTGCCCCACCTGGAGGACTGCTGCATTGCTGACCACGGGCGAGGCAGGGGCACAAAGGTGATGAGAAGGAGGCAGAATGGGAAGGGAAGAAGGAGACAGACATTTGGAAGTGGGGTCTTCTGAGAGAGGGAAGCAGGGGTAGAGGAACAGAGCCAGAGGACTCAGGGAATGAAATCTGAACACTCAGAGCTGCACCCGAGGGTTAGCAGATGTGGAATAACTATTTGTTGACTTGAGATGGGTTTGAGACAGAAAGGAAACATAGGGTAGCAAAAAGAGCATATTATAATCTAGTGGTGTTAGTGGAAACTGGATTTAAATTCCAGCTCAGCTACTTATTAACTATGTGATATTGGGCCAACTCCTTAACTTCTCTGAACATGTTTCCTCAATTGAAAAGTGGACACGTTGGCCATCAGGTTATCATGGGGACTAAGGAGATGACTACATTGCTCCTAAGCACGTAATAGGTGCTTCTGCCGTGGGGGCCATTATTATGACAATGGAAAGAGGGCTACTTTGAAGCAGTTGTAGGTGGCAGTGAGCTAACCCAAGAGTAGGAGACCAGCATGAGCAGATAGCCTCCAAGTGCTAAGATCATCAAGAGATACGATTTCTCTTTCTCTTTTCATCCCCCCTTCCGTCCCTCTCCATCTCAGGCAGGTTTTGTGGCTTTTTCTTTTCTCCGGAGATGCAAAGTCTTCTGCATTCCTAGTTCTTGTTCAGCCAATGCGAGTGATTTTAAACACCCTTCCCCTGACCCCCGTGCACACACATTCTAGCTG